GTCATATTTCAAGTGTTTGACATGGCTTGTGCTTCCAATTGAAAAAAAGCGGCTGTAAAATCCTTTTTGAAACGCTAGTGCCTCTTTGCGTCGTATTGTAAAGGTCCACATGGATAAATTCTCCTCTGGAATTCACTCGATGTCCTCGATATATGAAATATCAAACATGGACATGCTTAGTTGATGAGAATACCAATGTTTAATATAAATATTACATGGCACTTTAGTTTTACGCCAGCGTTTGTTTTATTCCTGCAATATCACGGCAAGTAACACCAGAACTGCTTCATGCAAGGAACCCATGTGCGAAATTGAACGTGTGTCTCCAGCGTCATCAGTTAACGCTTTGCCGGAAAACCTTTCCTTTCGTCACTAGATCATAACAATTTTCTTCATCTTATAAGTAACAATTTACGAAACTGTTAACTCTGGAGCCAAAGCAGCATGTTGGGCTGACCGAGTATGTCATCAAGTACGGATTATAATGTCATGTGTCCTTCATGCACATTGGTACTTTCAACTTTCAATCAATTCTCTTTCCACATTAGGAGTTATTTTGGAAAAAGGTGATCTACATAATGAACGAGACTCTACTGTACAAATCCCCCGAACAACGTTTCTCATCACAAAAAGATCATCACAGGAAAGAAGACGCAAGCACGTATCATGATAGTACCGAACATGTTCGTTCAACCATTATGTGCATAAACAGAATTTGAATTCGTTTGTTGTCAAGACCTAAACAGCGTGACACGTTTCCTTGTTAACAGACAAGAATATGACTATTTTAGGTTGAGGTCATTAGAAACACAAAGAGGCAAACCATTGTGTGAAAGAAATATTTATTGAAAAACAACAAAGACAGGGAACATAAAACATTTGATATGAACCATTGATGGGCGCCTTGACGAGTTCATCTTCATTCGCTCGTCTCGCTGACACAGAAATATGTATTTAAAGGATGAATAAGTTTTGTTTTATGCTGTTTGAAGCATTCTGATCGTGGTGAACACAAGCAATGACCTTCACAACCTTTCTACCAATGTGTGACATTGAAACCCCAGGAAACGGATTCAGTACAGTCGACCGTCCATAATTCAAAGATATGTACGCTATATTATGAGTAACAGAGTGCGTTTCGGCTTGTTACAAAGTCATAGTAGCTTTACTAGACTGAAAGGGGTCGATGTCATGGGGCATAAGTTAAACATGATTCTGTTTGTAGACCTACCGATCACTCAAATACAGAAATGTGGAATTAGGTTGAATGTTTTAGAAGATCCTATTATCTTGTCTTCCATGCGTATTATTTCACAGTCAGTTGAGAGAACTACATTCATCTACATGCATACCGAATAAAAGTAAATAGTCAGAATACATAAAAATAAAATATGTTTTCACAATGCATGTATTGCTGATACATCGTTGTGCATTGAAGTGTATTTATATACCAAACTCGAAACTCACAACGTGTAAAATACCTTCATCAGAATATATACAATATCATTGCGCACGCTCATGTTTACATTGACAGGGTGCTGTATATGGGAATAAACTAGTTCCTCAAACCGATCTAATGTAACAACCTTTGCAGTTTCAAATGGACACAAGAAACAGATTAAAATAACATGTATCATCAGATGAGAAGGCCTGTTAATGACTGCCTTAGTCGCTCACAGTGATAGAGAGAACGCATCCAAGAAAACATATAGATAACATCAGCAAGGTTGGTTTCTTGCACGTCAAGATCTTATTGAAAATACGGATATATCTTACAAACAAACCACCATTCAAATATGTCTCGAGTCGACTACTGGTGCAACCAATTATCTCACTACTACAATACAACATATCCATGACGAAACAGTCAGGATTGTATCACTTGAAATACGTCAGTTCTTACGAATCTTCACATGTTGCAGATCCCAAAAAGAATTACCTACAAGACTTTGTGATTCACCACATAGTATCTCCACAACACCAAGACAAACACATGAAGTAGGCCAACATACAGAACATACAAAGTAGTCCAACATGCACAAGACAAAAAGTAGTCCAACGTACACTTAGGCAAAAAGTAGTCCAACACACGGAAAAGTGGCCCAATATGCCGAAGACAAAAAGTAGTCCAATGCACAGAAAAGTAGTCCAACATACCGAAGACAAGAAGCAGTCCAGCACACAGACGACACAAAGAAGTCCAACGCACAGAGGAAAAAAGGTAGTCCCCCACACACAACACACAAAGTAGTCCCCCACACACAACACACAAAGTAGTCCCACACACACAACACACAAAGTAGTCCCACACACACAACACACAAAGTAGTCCCACACACACAACACACAAAGTAGTCCCACACACACAACACACAAAGTAGTCAAACACACAAAAGACACTAGTGTGCGTATTTGGTCAATGTTTCCAATGTTTTTGCTACTTTTATGCTGGTGTATGTATCCAAACTGCCACTATTTGCCACGACTACCACAAAAAGTACATGACTACAGCACAATGTACACGACTACCACACAATGTACATGACTACTACACAATGTACACGACTACCACACAATATACATCACTATCACACAATGTACATGACTACCACATAATGTACATGACTATCACACAATATACACGACTACCACACAATGTACATGACTACCACACAATATACATGACAACCACACAATGTACATGACTACCACACAATGTACACTACTACCACACAATGTACATGACTACCACACAATATACATGACAACTACACAATGTACACGACTACCACACAATGTACATGACTACCACACAATGTACATGACTATCACACAATATACATGACTATCACACATAATTTACATGACTACCACAAAATGTACATGACTACCAGACAATGTACACGACCAACACACAATGTACATGACTATCACACAATGCACATGACTACCACACAATGTACATGACTATCACACAATATACATGACTATCACACAATGTACATGACTATCACACAATGTACATGACTATCACACAATGTACATGACTACCACACAATGTACATGACTACCACACAATGTACACTACTACCACACAATGTACATGACTACCACACAATATACATGACAACTACACAATGTACACGACTACCACACAATGTACATGACTACCACACAATGTACACGACTACATTGTGTGTTCTGTGTGTTGGAGTACACCTTTACATCGACTGAACCTGAAAACCTTTTCTACATTGATTCCCCAAAAGGCCGTAAAGCCCAGGGATGAGAAGCTTCACACAACAAATGGATGACAATTTGGATGTTCAAGAAACACTCATTACATCTGGTGGCCAGTTTGTGAGTTGTATGCATGTACCAAATAATCCAGTGATGTCTGTAGATGACACAAGATATTGAATGAAAACCTCCCACCAACATCCAACAGTCTAAAACATCACATTGAACGAGTAAACTGCCAAGTCCATGTTTGGAAATAGTCTCTGCAACCAATCATGAACATTCCTTCACCAATTGACCATGGTTGGAGCATTTGTGATGGTCAGCTTATCCCTATTCTGATGTCGAGAGATCCTGCTCTCCATGGATTGGTTGAACTTACATCGTGTAAATGCAAAGAGTCAGCATGCCAACAGAAAGAATGATATAGTGTGCACATAGGCATGTCTTTTCTTATGGCAGATGATTGTTGCCTGAACACCTTTGACTTGTTGCCAGTAGATGACTCCGATTCTGACATAAGTGAGTGAGTGAGTTTAGTTTTACACCGCACTCAGCAATATTCCAGCTATATGGCGGTCTTCTGTAAATAATCGTGTCTGGACCAGACCACCCAGGAATCAACAGCATGAACATCAATCTCCTCAATTGGGATACGATGACATGTGTCAACCCAGTCAGCGAGCCTGACAATAAGATCCCGTTAGTCGCCTCTTATGACAAGCATGGGTTATTTAAGATCAATTCTAACCCGGATCTCTACAGGTCCGATTATGACATGAAGTAACATATGAAATGAAAGAAAGTGAAAAGGAGGGTTAATTGCAAGCTTATGGATGTATCAAAAGTGATTAAGAGTTATCCGATAGAACAATTTGAATGCCTACAACCAGAGCTTAGACGTAGTTATCGGCCATGAAGCATAGTTTTCAAACACTTTTGGATAATGTTATTTCATCAAATATTTTAGGAGTGTGAAGCTTTGATTGACCCTATCATTGACATTAAGCTCTATTCCTATACTGTACATTAGACACCAAATGATTTTTTTGGATTTCATATAAGTACAAATTTAGTCCTCCAATAAGTATATGTAGTTAAACTACAATGGCGGCCATTTTGGCGGCCATTTTGAATTCTGGGTAATATATAAATATCCCTAATAACATGCCGTCACTCTAGAAGTAAACAGAAAACAAAAACAACTTGTTTTAGTAACAAAAATAATGTCAACTGCCATTAAATAAATCACACTCACACATTTCCATGAAAAGTCGGAGAATCGCTAAAATACCCCTGTCTCAAAGAATAAGCTGTAAAACATTAAACTACCACGATATGACCAGCCAAATGACTATTTTTTGTGCCCAAGCCATCACTCTAGGAGAAACAAGTGGCAAAACACATCAAAATTATCAACTTTGGATGTAAATGGAAACATTCAGTGTTCATTTTATATAGATTTAAGTGCTGAGAAGGCAAAATACGACAAAACAAAATGGCGGCCATTTTGATTTTCTTTTCAAAACATTAATGTCAAATAATTATGTCAAATAATTTCTACATCCTTTAGCAGTACACAGAAGTCAAAATGAAAGTGATCAGATTGATAGTAGTAAAACTATTAATGATTAACTTTGAGGTGTTGACGGGCAGCTAACCAAATGTGACCTAATGCTCGCAGACCCCCACTACATATAATGGCCTGTATAAAAAAACTGATGCCACAATCTGAGAGTATTACAGGCCTTTTCATGACCCCAAGACATCATACTAACTGAAAATAGTGTCAAACAAAATCAGTACTGGGGAAGCTACGAATCCCTATTTCTAGGCCGCTTTTGAGATTCTCCTCCTGGACTATGGGTTTTGTCTCTGTGTATGTTGGACTACTTTATGTTTTCGTGGTGTTGTGAAGATAGTATAGCCAAAGCTCCTCTTCCTTCGGTTGCGGTATTTGCATTTTGGAAGCTTTGACCAAATATGCGCACAAATAGTACGCACTTTGTAGCCATACTTGCTGGTATGTACCCATGTGCAAACATGTCTGGAGCACCAAATCATGATCCGCTAAATTTGTCCTGTTATATTTGTAGTGGCTGGGGTCAGAATTAGGGTGAAATGGCTGATAGAGTGGTTCAGTTCCCTCATAGTGAATACTAATCAGTTTGTAAAGCATAGCTATTGTTACCATAATTAATGCATTTATTGAATTAGTATTGTACCCTTTGAATCCAAACCATATGCTTGCATGGCTGACACTATTTCTGCCTTCTGAGTAGCCTACAAGCCATTCTGAAAGAAGGCACAGTGGCGTTGAAAGAGATTTGCTGTGTCGTCCACGGTCAATTCGGTTATGTTTACCACTTCAAAAATCCCTGGGGACAGGCGACACGTTCCGAATACAGATTCTGCCATTGTACAGACAAACGATGTTTCAGCTGAACAAGCTATTGCACAGGAGTCAGGGTCAGATATGGCAAGTATTTTCTCATTGTAGCCCTTTATAGCAATGCCCGTCAACTGCGTGTAGTCGTTCCCGTATGAACTGCACGCTGAAATAGACAGTTCGTATTATATAACACATAGTAAACAATTAGATATCAGAATTGAAGAGACCTCGAAAAGGCTGTGCATGAAGTTTACGAAATGGTTAGTAGTTATGTATTGGTCATGCAGGCACTTTTTTTGAATGGGCATTTCCATGTTAAAATTTCCGATAAACATATATCCCCCAATTAGCACGTTCTGCCGTGGCGTGCATCCACCGCCCACTAATTAAACACATCGCCGAGTACGACAAACACCAACCCCGGGAAGCTACCGAGAAAAGTACACAGACGACCGTCCACAGATTAAACACATCGCCGCGTAGGTAAACACATGTCGCGAGAAACTCCGAAGAAAAGTACACAAACGATCAGCATCGACTAGTAGGTAAAAGTATTTTAATGAGTTTTACATACTCACGAGAACCATATAACATACGGACATACAAACACCGAAACCAATAAATATTTTGCAATGGATACGAAACAATATCAATGGGTTATTGTTGCTAAGCCTCCACAACAATATAGATCGCATTTCGATGTATCAACAGGAATACTACGATCCCAAGAAACCATGCGCTTTCGCGGGTGAGTAAATATTTTACGTCGCTCTCAAGCGTCGTAACCCTAAGATCTCTTCTCATGGCGTACACAGATGGATGATAATGCAAGACGCCTACAACCTACATCGTTTACCAAAGAAATGATTTTCAAGAAATAAAGTCATCGTTGGGGAAATGTATGTACAAACAGACTTAGACTTATTCGACGTATCTAGGCTAGCGCAAGACAACAATGGAATTAAGTATATTCTCATTGTAATCGACTGCTTTTCGAGATATGTCTAGGTCCAACCTATGAAAAATAAAGAATCAAACACGACCGCCAAAGCAATGAGGGAACTATTGTCATCCATGAAGAAACCGCCATGCAGTCTAAGAATGGACAAAGGAATGGAATCAAACAGTGCGACGGATTTACACTCTATTTAACGTCAAACATTTGGTTACGCAAAAGTCAGACATTAAAGCGAACTACGCTGAACCTTTCATTCGTACTTTGAAATCTATGATGTATAGATTCCTCACGTAACCTCATACCCATAGGTACATCGACGTATTACAAGACCTTGTTTTTAACTACAACCATCGCCCGCACAGGAGCCTGAGAGGATGAGCACCCGTGGAAGTGAAACCATCAAATGAAGCTAGCATACGGTTTGATATATACGCGGACAAAGCGAATATCAAACCTCTACGAAACAGCAACTTTGCATTTAAAGTAGGAGACCACGTCAGAGTATCATTGGTCAAAAGAACGTTCAAGAAGGAATGCGAACAGAAATGGTCGGAAGAAGTATTTAGGATACGTCAGCGACAACTCAGAGACAATATACACGTATATTGGCTAGGAGACCTCCAATCCGATCCCTTTAAAGGATCCTTTTATCAAAACGAGTTGCAGAAATATCCTCAAGATCCCAACGAAGTGAATTGGCCAGTTGAACAAATACTAAAAACGAAATACGTCAGTAAGAAAGGAAATAAGAAAAGGACCAAACGTGTTTTAGTAAAGTGGTTGGGATATCCAAAGAAATTCAATTCATGTATCGACACTGACCAAATCAAGAACGTACACGTATTGAGAGAATGACGTCAACGGAATGGATTGTGACTAAGAGTGGCGATAGCGTCTAGTATTTTCATGAAAATAAACCTTATAAATTTTCCGTGCACCTGAAACAACCACTCAGACTGATCGGACATTGGACCATATCGCTACGAGAAGTATACGCCAGAAAGAAGAAAGAAAAGAGAAGTTTTGAATGGAATGCTGTATATATTCTGTTCCATTTGCAAACCGATCATAGTCCACGGTCAACGTCAACCTCTGTTGAGACGAGTGCAACAGTCAACAGCATCGACGTGGAAGGCTGCATTCTCCGAACCGAACGACATCGGCGTGAGAGTGATGAGAGCGCTTGGATGTCTTTATAACGGACGCCTGGGGCAATCCAGCCATTTTTCTGACGGACATTTCGTCTATCACCCTGCAGTTGAGACCATATCCTCTCATTACATAACATTTAGCCATATGGATGTCGACGACGCACTACCAAACCCACCCGACAGGAAGTATATTCCGAATCCAAACACATGGAAGAAATAATACGGCAATGTAGCGCACAGGAAAATAAACCCCTATTTTCACCAAAACAACAACTCCAGAAACAACCATGTCACGACCATGTCACCGGGATCCGCATCAAATCCGATGATCATCAACTCACCACGTGACACGTCAACTCTCCCGAAGGCGCGTGTCGAACGATTAGTAGACGTCGCAAAGGATATAAACCTCGTGAGTCCAGTAGAACAGGCAGTAGAACAAGCCAAGTCGGAGATCGAACACAACCCAGACACTGTCTCCAAAGCAGCCATAAACGAAGGTATGATGATTAAAAAAAGAGGTCGCAAGCACGGAGGAAGCAGTTGGAAGAAGGCCCTTACGAAAGGCAGACGTACGAACAGAAATCCGCACAAGAAGAAAACGAAGAAAGCTCCGACCAGAAATGGGAAGACGAGGTCCTTTTCTTATTTCCTTTCTTACTGACGTATTTCGTTTTTAGTATTTGTTCAACTCGCCAATTCACTATTTCTGCAACTCGTTTTGATGAAAGGATCCTTTAATGGGATCGGATTGGAGGTCTTCTAGCCAATATACATGTTTATTGTCTCTGAGTTGACGCTGACGTATCCTAAATACTTCTACCAACCATTTCTGTTCGTATTCCTTCTTGAACGTTCTCCTGACCAATGATACTCTGACGTGGTCTCCTACTTTAAATGCAAAGTTGCTGTTTCGTAGAGGTTTGATATTTGCTTTGTCCGCGTATATATCAAACCGTATGCTAGCTTCATTTGATGTAGGTTGTAGGCGTCTTGCGTTCTCATCCACCTTTGTACGCCATGAGAAGAGACGTTAGGGTTACGACGCTTCAGAGCAGCGTAAAATGTTTGTTCATCAGCAAAAGCGCCTGGTTTCTTGGGATTGTAGTATTCCTGTTGATAATCAACCTTCATGACTATATTTTCCCACACCAACGTTTAACCGTCCGTTTGATATGGTTCATCCACTGGTCGGTTTGGACACTGGTGTCTCTGTAGTCTGGAGAGACGACGCGTAGATACGGATCACCATCCACGTACTGACGCCACTTCAGAATAACCACGTCTTCGTCAATCGCTTTCATAGACGTATGAAAAAGTGTTTTGAAATCATGCTCTGTCTCCCTCTCATACTTTTTAATGAATTTCCATACCACTGCGGCATAGGCGTGCGATAGATAGTATTCCAAATATGCTGTTACTATCTCAGAGTCTATTTCGTCCACTTCCGTTGGTGAGTTCATTTCCTGTCCACGATGATGTACGGACTAGGTTGATTGTACGCTGTCCGAGAATATATAAGTATGTACGGGCTTCCCCATGAGTCCGGAATGTCCACGGGTCTATATCGCAGCTTCTTTTTCCTTGATGGCGCACGCACTCTCCTTTCTGGCTGCATCCGAGCACAACTTCGTCATCGAAATGCGATCTATATTGTTGTGGAGGCTTAGCGACAATAACCCTTTGATATTGTTTCGTATCCATTGCAAAATATTTAATGGCTTTGGTGTTTGTATGTCCGTATGTTATATGGTTCTCGTGAGTATGTAAAACTCATTAAAATACTTTTACCTACTAGTCGATGCTGATCGTTTGTGTACTTTTCTTCGGAGTTTCTCGTGACATGTGTTTACCTACGCGGCGATGTGTTTAATCTGTGGACGGTTCTCTGTGTACTTTTCTCGGTAGCTTCCCGGGGTTGGTGTTTGTCGTACTCGGCGATGTGTTTAATTAGTGGGCGGTGGATGCGCGCCGCGGCAGAGCTTGCTAATTGGGGGACCTCTTTTTGTCAAAAATTTTAACATGGAAATGCCCATTCAAAAAGTGCCAGCGTGACCAATACATAACTACTATGGTTAAGGACTCTGAGGTCTTCGTTCTACGGACAAAATATCATGCAAACCATTGCCTTCTTGGATGTGTATATTTCACATAGTTTAGTTTGTCTGATAATGACAGCTTAAATGTAGATCAAATCTGCGAACACGAAAAAGCGAGTGAAGCACGTGCATTTCACATATTCCAATTGTATCTGTATACACTTTTCAATGTATACGGTCACAGCAAGGAGCTTTATGAGAGCACCTACAGTGAGTATATCGAGTCATATGAATGGGATTTGACACCACTTCGACGTCAAAGTTGAGAGACATACGACTTTATGGATAGCAACTTTTTGTTTGTTGCATAGAGTGACCCTTAGGTATTTAATCTTAAAACTAAAAGTGAACCAACTATGAGTGACAATAACGGAGTGACATAATATCATGTGTCAATTTGCTTTACCTTATCCCACTACCACTGTTTTTATAACTTCTTTTTGATCTGGCCTCATTGATTGATTGTTTTACGCCACTTTTAGAAATTGTGTGATCGGCATTCTAGGCAGACGACTTTATGGATAACAACTGTTTGTATATTGCATAGGGTTAGGCTTAGGTATAGACGGAACCTATCTGGGAATGAGAACAGCAACAAGAAGTTAATTGAACACACTTGTACTCACATTTCAGGCATGATTTTGAGGAGGGGTCAAACCTGCGCCCGAAACCACACCCACAGAGCCCTGTCCTGAAGGAGGCAGTGACAGGACATCCTTCCGACCCGCACCGTCGGGTGACAATACGGAGTTCTGGAAATAAGCAGACATAGTGAACTATCACATTACCCTTAATTCATCAACGTCAAGAAATAATGCAGATTTTTACAAATACGTACAAACCGAGAATCCGTCACTGATATGTGCAACTGCATCATGTCTATGAACCACATCGAACAAGGATAAACTGCAATAACGCAGACATACATGTACAAATACTGAAGCTGTTCAAGCCAGGATATGGTACCATGGTGCCAATATTCCATAAACAAACTGAAATCTTTCGAGACAGGACAATACAATGGTTCTAAATACAAAAACTGGACACTTCGAGACAGGATATACTACAATGGCGAGTACATACCCGCGTATAAAATGAACTCTATGGGCCAGGGTATCATACAATGGTGCCAACATACAAAAAACTGCACCACTTCGAACCAGAATAAACTACAGTGGTGCCAAAGTTCATGCATTAACACTTCCTGCACTAAGTAAGTGACACGTCTCCATACCTGTACATATGCGCAATCATTTCGGGCACGTAGGTGTATTTTCCTATACATCCAACCACTTTAGACTAAGTGATACAGTGAGGGCTACATACCTGAACACATTTTAGGATGGAAACTAATTGTTTGTTCGTTGTCTTATTGCAACTAAATAACAGCAACTGACAGACCACAATCGACCTATGTAGTAAGAAACGATGACATGCATCAACTAAATCAGCGATCGAGTCTGACTAACCAATCCCATTAATGGCCTTCGGCTCTAAGCAGGGATACTATAGCGAACGACTTACAGAAATGATATGCTACAATACTGACTACATACCTCAACACAAAGTTAACTATTTTAATCTGGGGGTAGTATTGTAGAGTCTTCATACCTGTACACATAGTGAACCACTTCGAGCCAGAAGAGTTGTGGAGATCTTCAGCTTTGATTGTATGGGAATAGGCAAAATAGCCAGAGCAGATACCAGTCAGTGGATTATAGATGAAGCTCTTGCAGAGGATGTCGTTGTAACACCGTAGAAGGCAGTCGACTCGAGCTGACAAAACTGACGTCCATCTCATCTTGTGTGTGGTGTTAACGTCATCACGGCTGGGAGTTGACTCGATGCTGCACGATATTGGTACAGAGCCAACACGGAGGAGGACACTTAAGCACAATAAATGCACAACATTCTCAACTGTCTTGCAGCCTGCCATGTCTCTGTGTGCAGCAACACTGACTGGCGTCTTTCTGACGAACAAACTTGTATTGCTTCTTCAATAATTGAGTGAAATAAAATGTTCTAACAAAGCATGGTTCACGCTCCGATGAAACGTGACAGGAAGCACAAAACGCTGTAAAATATAAACGTTTATTCCCTTTGGAAGATCATTAGCTCCAGCTATTTACTAATTTTTCCCTTCAACCCTTCCTTGACTATAAAAAGAGCCCTCTGTTAATTTCGCAGAAGAAAGAAACAGTTTGAGGTTAGTGCGTCCTGTCATGTGGGAAAATTCTTGTTTCTTTAAGAAAACACGAAACTTTGTATAGCAGGGTATCTTTTGGTTTTCGCGGGAGAAGCAATGCCTTGTATAATAGGGAAGCTATGCACTCCATGGGAAACACTGCCTTGTGTTGCTTCGTTGTTGTTAAACGCCACACTCAGCAATCTTCCAGCTATATGGCGGTGCTCTGTAAATAATCCAGTCTGAACCAAACAATCCAGTGATTAACACAATGAGCATCGATCTATGCAATTGGGATACGATGATATGAGTCAGCCGGCGAGCCTGACCACCCGATCCCGTTAGTCGCATCTATTGAAAAGATGGGTTACTGAAGTCTAACCCGGACCTTCACGGATCCACTGCCTTGAGCAATAAGGGAAGATATGTATTGTCCTATAGGAGTCACTGTCTTGTATGATAGGGGAAGCTATGTATAGTTCCGTGAGAGACACTGCCTTGTATAATAGGGAAGCTATGCATTGTCAAATGGGAAACACAGCCTTGTATAACAGGGAACCTATGAATAGTATAGTATATGGGAAACACTGCCTTGTAAAATAGGTAGGCTGTGCATTTTCTTATCGGAAACACAGCCCGTGTATAACAGGGAAACCATCTGTTACTCCATGGGAGTCACTGTCTTGTGTGATAGGGAAGCTAAGTACTGTCCCATGTGAAACACTGTCTCGTTTCATAGGGAGGCCATTTGTTGTATAATTTGTGAAGTCTGTGTTTTGCTATGGGGAACAATAGCATGTATAGTATTTGGAAGTTATGTGCTGTTATGGGCGAAACAACAATATATAGCGAGTATAATAAGGAACCAACATCATGTGTTATACTGTGTAATTTCACACAGAAGCGATTACATTTGTTCATAGAAAATCCGCATGTGCAGCTTGTATACAGTAAAATACCTTTATAACGAACTCCAGGGGACCACTGAAATTAGTTTGTTATATCCGTAGTTCGCTATTCACGAAATTCCATTGAAAGAACAATAAAGACATACTGTACAGTCCGATACATTCCTACTCAGTATATTCATTCATTCATACGACAGTAACATTCATTACTACAAAGTCTGTGATCTTACTTTGTCCAGGCTGTCCCGACTCCAAAACAGCATGAGCGGTAAGTGTTGCATCCCACCACTGACGTCTAACTGTATTTGCAAGTTGCCTAAACAACTGTTTTGTTTCTTTCCTTCTATACAGCTGCATCGGCAAAAGTGTATGCTGTATGACAGTGGCCTGTATGTACTCGAGTCTTGCAAGGCATTCCAACAATCCAGTAACTGACATAATGATCGTCGATATATACAATTAGGGAGCCTAAACACCTGACTCTGTTAGACGAGAAGCATTCTCAGCATATATTATGTTGTTCATGATTACTGTATCCACACGAACATTGTTCACAACACAAGTTCTGAACAACTAACCATAAATTATCAATTGAGACAGGTCGATGGTTGAGCATTCCAAGTGAAGAAGGACAATGTCCATTTTGTGGTTATGCTTCAAACGCTGTTGGAGACGAGTTCCACTACTTGTTGACATGTGAAGTTTTTCTCCAATTGCGCCATCAATCTCTGAACGATAAATGCTTAGAATTTCCAAATATGTGCATCTTTTATAAACTCTTATCTACTATCAGCATAAGCGATCTTAAAGGCCTTTCTTAATTACTGAATCACGTATTTAATGCATTTACAATGAAGCATTGTTCTTATTTATAAGTTGCTATCTTGTATATTATGCAAATGTATATACGTTTATCTCGTGTACCGCCGTTAATGGTTTCTCGGGAATAAAATGTTTCCGTTGAGTAAATACCCAAGTCTCGCAAGGCAATCCAACAATCCAATGATCGACATCACCGATATAAACACTTTACGAGCCTAAATAACCTGACTCCGTCAGACGACAAGCATTCTCAATATATCCCGTTGTTGATGTTTACTATATCCACATGAACACTGTTCACATTTTCCATATCCTATGGGCGTGTACCCCCGGGTTATACGCTCTAACACATGAACTGTGCAAACGATTATCATTTTATGGTAATACATCCGTCAGGTAATGCAACCGATACATGTGAGGTAAACAATAACTGTAGAGGATGCGATAGGACCCTCTCTTCTGTTTTCTGTTCTTGGCTCTGTCAAAACGAGGCAATTTGATCACAGAACTTCAAGAACGGTCGGAATTCCCTTTTACTGTGATTGCAACTGTAACATTTAACGATAGTTATATCAAGATGAGCTTCATATGTCGGTTATTATATTCCAGCACTGACTTCTGATGTAAATGAATTGGTGAAAGAAATGTTAGGTAGCAGTGATCCACCATATCGAATGACGATAAAATATCATGATATGATCCTTTCCACACGATCCTTTTCTTAGTTATTTCTTAAGGGCGCTGATAACATATATATAAATATTAAAAAACGACGTGGGAGAAGGAAGTCAAATTGAGAAAGCTAACATCCGTAAGTTACATTGATCAGTACTTGGTGAGTTTTTTTACAAGCATACCTCGGGATGTGGTAGTCTGCTTTCTATGATGTTGAACAGAATTCTAATGTAGGACTTGGGGGTCTCGAGATGTACAACTCCGCGTTTTAATCTGTATGCAAACTGTATAGAGTCTAGCAGATGGTTTACTTCTGTCTTCAGAGACTTCAATGAAACGATGCGCTCGAGACACTTCATGGGAATGGAGGTTAATGCGACTGGACGATAATTATTTAGTTCTTGGGGCTTGCTCTTCTTTGAAATGGGTATGATTTCTGACGTTTTCCAAATATTTGGAATAGAGTGATTGTCCAGTGAATGTTCGTATAGGTGTGTTGCAAACTACGATCGCATTGTATGCATATGACGGCAATCTGTAAATAATACAAGGAGTGAGGGGTCGGACGACCGTGACTCCTGTCTAACAGCATTACATTCATGTACTGGCACACATACACTCAGTTCTATACTCACATACGTTTACTTTGCCTCAGTCCATCTCTGTTACTACAACTTCAACACAACGAAGGGTTGGCTCATAGTGGGAAACTGAGTGACGGCGATTGGCGTCCGTCAATTGAAAAGCGCGGACCACTCTACTCGTGTTAAATATATCTTTTTAAATGGTTCGTTTCTAACCTGATCTTGATCACATGTTCCCGTATATTATTTTGATTCGTTAAAACTGTACCTGACCTTGAACTCACGTGATTGGAAAAATACCGGACATCACTGACTCTTTTCTCTCATGGCGACTGTGTTCTGACCTGTCCCTGTAACTCCCGACATTCTGTCACCATTGACCTCCCAACCTTTAAAGCATCCATGAGAATATCCGCAAATCTACATAATGAATCTAATGTCATTTTCTGATGGTTTAGGGATGCATTTTTACCTTATAATATAACGTTCAGATAAAAAAAAATCTGAAAAGTGTGTCAAGCTCGGTAGGCGATTGTGTTACCTGTTTAGTAAAACGGTCGTTTGTGCACATATATATGCATTTCTGACACCCTATAAAGGTTTACTTAAACAGGATGAAAATACTATTTCCAGTAAATATGACTGTTTGTTAATCTTTGTCAAGGGTACTTTGGAGTAAGAAATCCGGCTTAATCATCGTATTGTCCAACTCCACAAAATGATGTGAACACGCTATCTGTGTGAGTTGTGTTGTGATTTACATTGACTGACTGACTGACTGAGTTTGGTTTTACGCCGCTTTTAGCAATATTCCAGCAACATCACGGCGGGGGACACCAGAAATGGACTTCACACATTGTGCCCATGTGGGGATTCGAACCCGGGTCTTCGGCGTGACGAGCCAACGCTTTAACCATTAGGCTACCCCACCGCCCCTGATTTACATCATGTGTTGTGATTCATTTTGTTTCTTTATCTCCTTTTATTTCATAATCGTGACGGATAGGATAGTAGACCTTCAAAAGGTCCTTGTTGTGAACGAGGAGCGTCACAAAGCACGGTATCTCAATTTGCAGTACAATCTACACATATTGTCGTGACACTGAGACTCGCGGGTTTGTGTCTCAAACACACAGCACTGTACCGGAGTGTCACGGATTCAATATTTCTGTTTTGGCAAACCAGCGTGACCCTGATACTGAAAACAGTGAATGAGTGAGTATAGTTTTACGCCACCGTCAGCAATATTCCAGCAATATCTGGGAACACCAGAAATGGGTTCGACACATTGTACCCCACCACCCCTTCTGAAAACAATGGTATCATTACACTCCAGATGTGTGACGGAGCAGTATGTAAGGCAGTCGATATGAGAGTAGTAACTAGGTCCAAAATGCCAGATATTGCAAAAAGCAAATATGGACAGAGAAAGTAATATGAAATATCATTGTGTGTTTTAATATTTTATATTAATCAAACATGCATGGCAAGGTATGTGTGTTTACCGGCCGTAAAATAGTTTGCCACATATACAGCGCTATAACTCTCTGTATAATCATAAAGTCACTCTCAGTTAAACCCCCAACGTCCTCTTAATCTCTGAGGCTGTCATTTAGTTTATCCTTGTAACACTGGATCCATACGCGTTGTTCTTGTGACCATTATAGGAGAACTATTTCAGACACGGATGCTCATACATACTTCCAGTGAAGATCCAGGTTAGAATTGATCCTCCACAACAAATTCCTGTCTGAAGAGGCAACTAACGGGATCGGGTGGTCAGTCTCACTGACGTAGTTGACACATGTCATCGTGTCGTAGTTGCGTTGATCGATGCTTAGGCTGTTGATCACTGGATTGTCTGGTCCAGATTTGATTATTTACACACGGCCGCCATATAACTGGAATATTGCTGAGTGCGATGTTAAACAACAAACAAACACACAAGTTTTATACATACATATCGGTGTCTCAGAATGCTTGTCGTATTACCATGGAGTTAGGCACATAATTTAATATAAAAAAACCCTGTTTCTGTGGTCAACGCTCTATTACTTAGATGCCGGTTTATAGCCTGAAGGAATATCAGCCAGGACAAAAGCCTTCTAGTCATGGATCTATAGATCACACCGACCCCCAAGACTCCTTAACCTCTCCACAGCTGCATCAGTTGGTTTCACTATTTTGTTTGATTGCGAACTGCCTTAGTGTTTGCAGCTTTGAATTCAATACAAAGCAATTGCGTTGATGCTTTTGTTTACCTGAATATATACACGACGCTGTTGTACAATTTTTGAAAGGTGTGTTCAAGAATATTTTTAATGACTCATGTCACAGAAGTAACTACATACTTTGCGTCTGTTTCCTAGCCTGCCAATCCTGGTTCCACCACTTGGAATCAGAATTCAACCACAAATATCTGTGGCTAACATTGATCTCAATAACATAGCACCTTACCGGCTTCTGTCCTCTCCACCCTAGAGGATGGTAAAACCACAGGCCGATCTTTCCCTCACCAAACTCAAAAAGTCCGAAACATATTCCTTGGTGTTCCAACAGGAATACAGTCAGTTCTGTTTCAAGTATAACACCCATAGATCCATATTTACAAATGGATCCAAGGATGATATCCAAGTTGTTAGTGCCAATGCCATTGGATCCAAGACTGTCTCCTCCGGAATTACCGACAATAGTTCCATTTTCACTGCTGAGTCCAAACTTCATCTTCACTGCGTTGACCTATATTAAACAGCAGAACCATTCCAAAAACTTCATCATTTTTACAGGCTCTCTGTCTTGCCTTCAAGCACTTCAAAATGTCACTTCGAGTCACCCTATCATTCTAGACATTTTAGAACTTTACAACTATCTTTCTACTGGAAAGTGTGATATTGTCCGCTGCTGGTTGCCTGGTTACGTCAACATAGCAGGCAACACAAAGACCGATGCTGATCCCGTTTAGTGATTTCAAACCTACTATCAAAACATATCCCTCGCAGTTGAAAATTCCACTCAGCCAAGCAGAATATCAAGCAGAACACTTCGTCGCAAGAGACACACACAGGAGGTCATGTCCATCGGTTTGGAGCAGATATTCATGAGTAGACCGACTGAGGCCAGGACCACATCGTCGTAAGCCTCATCACGTTGGGACTGACAACCCAAGTAGGTACAACCGATTGTTGGTTTCAGTTCGTGAAGTATATATCTTCTACATGGGTGTCCCATCTTTTTTGCATGAGGTCTTGAATATAGTCATTGTCTGGAATGCCGACTCTCCCTGGTCATACGTCCTGTTTCGTTATAGGTAGCAGTGCATGTTGGTTGCAACAAAGAAGTAGACGTCTATGACGTCCATCACTTGTGGAGCCGTGTGTAGTTCCGGTTGCGCTGTAAAATGATTCCTAAATGGGTAGCTTTCTCTGTCCCCTCTTATCCAAGTTCTCCAACTGGATTTTGAGTGGACATGTCCTATATGAGTGGTTTGTGTCTGAAATGTTTTGTGTATCTTATCTATTTGCACATGATATTCAGTTCGTCTGTGGCGTAACTGTCTCAAACATTCCCATGAATAGAGGTATACATTTCTTGTATACATATACACGATGCAATATACCAGAATAACAATACATGTTAATAGAAAGAATTTAACCATTTTATTGATCCCATTCTATTATTACAACGCGAATGATATTCACAGTTATAAATACTATCTAACTTGTTTTATGATTCTAATTCAACATAACAATACTATTCACTATCAAAATAGCGGAATTTATAACATCTTCCAGAGACACACAGTAGACGTACACAGGAACACAGAGAATGCACGTCACTGGACTTTACAAATGACAAGAGTTATTATTAGTTTGTCAATATAATTTGATTCAAAACAAATTAATAATCATCCCCATTCGACAACACACACACATTCATTGCATACATTGAGGAATGATTAGGGCCTGAGAGTATATGCTTGGGCTTCGGTTTCTCGACCTCGCTTGCCAATTCACACCGTCATAGGGGCGGCGAGGTAGCCTAGTGGTTAAAGCGTTCGCTTGTCACACCGAAGGTCCGGGTTCAATATAACATGGGTACAATATAAGTTGTTCACTGGTCACGAGGGGTGCATGGGTTGATGTACTCTCAATGTTTGTTTATGTTCCCCTCGCCCTTCGGGCTCAGGGAACATAAACAAACATCGAGAGTACAGGGAACATAAACAAACATCGAGGGTACAGGGAACATAAACAAACATCGAGGGTACATCAACCCATGGGTCCCGAGGGACCAGTGAACAACGTATTTATCTTACCGAACACCTTAATGTTAATTTTGAATTGTTTGAAGCACGAGTACAAATCTTTTTGTAGCCATCGCTAAATTTAGCTGACAAGAAACACAGATTTGGAGTTATCTCCCTTTCTGTAGATTTGCATTCGCAAAACATCAGTAATTTCCGTACATCATACCTGATTCAATGTTATTTGAGATAAAGAATTACTACCACGAAGTACCAAATGAGTTGCCTTTGACAGCGGGATACATTGAAATGTTACTCGCTTGTAAGCAGGGTACATTGAAAACAATAGAAGAGCGTTCAGCCAATCAGAAAGCGACATTTAAGTGTGAGGTAAGAAATTTCCCAAACCAGATTATATGTTTATACATTTTAGCCACGGTCATCCATATTCTAACACTATCACGGTGGCATGTTATAAATCAAGTTTATATCAGGGCAGCTTATGCGCATTACTAAATAATCTTTCCTTTTTCGCAAGATTTTCCGGACTAAAGGTTAATACAGAAAAAACAAGGTTGTTATGGATAGGCTCAAAGAAAAGGAGTCGATACAAGCTATGTACAGATTAGAATTTGAATTGGTGTCAAAGCAATTTTAGGCTGCTAGGAATACAATTCTATGTGGATATGGAAAAGATGATTGAACTGAATTACTATGAGAAATTGAGAAAGATAGAATGCGAAATGAATTTTGTACTCTAACTCTAATTGCAAGAAATACAATCTTGAAATCACTATTACTTTCTAAACTTAACCATCTTTTTTCATCCATACCATCACCTCCTGATACGCGATACTCAAATCTTTTCAGGCAAAATGTTTCAAATTCATATGGAGAGGTAAACCGGATAGAATCAAAAGAGATGCTCTCTAAGCATGCCACCAAAGTATGGAGGACTAAATGTATTAATTTGTGCTCAATAAATATCTTGGATAAAACGACTACGAGAAGGAAATGCTAAATGGAAAATATTGGTTGATAATTGTATACCAGAAAACTATAGAATATGGCTAGCCGATTCTCAATATATCATAAAAAAATCGTCCCTACAATTAGAAACACTTTTTGGAAAGATGTCGTAGAAGCATGGGGAAAGTATTTGGATAAAAAATATATACAGCTGGAAAATACGCCTCACTGCTTGATGCAGGTTACAACAAATCATATGCACATAAAAGGTGGGAAAGAATATTTCAGAAACAATATCATTCCAAAATGTTGGAATATATTTATCTAATGGCTCACAGATGTACAAACAGTAGCGATCTAATATGATTGCATTACAAAATAATTTATGAAATAATACCAACAAGCGTATTCTTATACAAGATTGGACGTAAGGATTCCCTTCTATGTACTTTCTGTGGAAGAGAACCTGAAACTGTCATGCATTTGTTTTACGAATATAGCCATGTAAAAGAGCTTTGGAGACGTCTGACTAGTTGGCTGCAGAAGGAGAAATTACATTAAACCCAGAAAACATACTATTAGGATTTCAAGGAAAACATAATAACCCACTAAATGTTGTGTGCCTGATAGTAAAACAAGTGATTGTAAACCAACGTATGTAAAATAAAAGCATTCATTTTAATCATGCACAAAGAGAAATTATAAAATATTATGAAGCCACCAGATATACAGCTTTTTCAACTTTCTCCAACAGCAAATTTTCAACTTTTGGTCATCCTTCCACAAATTATTCGATATGAAACCAGATGATTACAATGTACTACACATTTCTCCCTAAAACGAACAATGTTAAGTATTTTCCTAAAACATCTATTATCTCTTGTCTACTAGACAGATGGTTAAGAGAAGTACTGAAGCCAATATAATAAATGTGTGGGCAACATTTTGTGGACCTATAACACCCATTTGAATCTATATTTTCCAAACGGGAGGAAAAGCATATACATCTTTATAAATGCACTGTTTATGTGTGTACACAAATGGGTGGGCATAGATTACCTATCTGAAACGTATACCTCCCAATAGAAGTGGAAATTATGTACATCTCATATGCTAGTATATGGTTGTATTATCTATGTATATGACGGGGGTAAACTAAGATACCTATCAGTAAACTATACCTTCCAATAGAAAGGATAACCATGTACATCTTTATATATATAACTGTATCTATGTATATGACTGGATGAACTTAGAATACCTATCTGCTAACTATACCTTCTAATAGAAAGGGAAAATATGCACATCTTTATACGCATGACTATATTTTCTATGTACACGACCGGTGGAACTTAGAATACCTATCTGTAACCCAGACTCTTCAACTGGAAGGAAAACATGCACATCTTTATAAGTGTGACTATTCTCTATGTACACGGAATACCTATCTGTAAATTACATCTTCCAATTGAAAAGAAACGCATGTACATCTTTATACTATGACTGTACTATCTATGTGTAAGATTGGCAGAATATCTAATGTCTATCTGAAACCCATACACTCCAAGTGAAAGGAAACATATGTACATCTTTATATTTATGATTGTATTATTTAAGTGCATGACTGACAGAACTTAAACTGTCTTCCTGTAAACATACCCTCCAAGTGAAAGAAAATACATGTACATCTTTATATATGAATGCTTTATCTATGCCCACGTTTAAACAAACTTAGAATACCTATCTGTAAACTATACTTTCCAGTTGAGACTAAAATTATGTATACTCTCATACATAAAACTGTAGTAGGTATGTGCATGATGGCCGGAACTAAGAATGCCTATCTGTAAATCCACCCATCTTTTTCAGTTGAAGGGAAGAACTTGTACATCTATCTATCTATGTCTATGCATGTATGTATATGTATATGTGTGCATATAAGAGTATATATATATAAGAGTGGGAATAAAAAATGGAAATAAAAAAAGGAAGTTTATACCAGGGTGTCGTTGTACAAAATAACCTTTAACTAAGGTTGAACTTTATGGAACAAGTTTTTATGGATAACAACTTCTTTATTTCGTGAGTGCGACGTTTCGATACAGATTCTTGTACCGTTGTCAAGCAAGCGTCTTTGAACTTGGTGCCTAAGGTTAACCTTAAGGTAACATTAAGAAAAAATAACCTACCTTTGGTCAACCTTAACTCTGTCAGGATATTTAGCTGCGATCTTAACTGAGGTTGAAATCTTCAGTGCAGGAGACTAAATCATGTCTGTACTTACGGTTGTGAGTTATCTCCCGTCCGACTTGATAAACAATTGATGGTTTGGCCAAACACGCGCATCTGTTTGGCATCAAATTAATGTAAATAAAAGGAAATATTTCATAACACATGAATATATGTTTTAGGATAAGACTTTCTTTTGTTTATGGTAATGTGGCTTTTTCCTTCATGATCATACAATGAACGATGCAAAAAGACAGCTCTTTATGTGTGGAACTATCAGAATAATGATGTAGGGTTTGTCCAAAGGAAGACATGGCATGGTTTATTTATATATTTTTTATAATTCTGGTTGAAATAATATAGTTACAGTTAGATATCATGTCATCGCAACTCTTTTTCGAGTATAGATTGATTTTAGTATCAACAACAATGAGAGTGGATCGTAAAAGGTCTTGACAAACGCGCACCTGGCCAATCACTATACATCATTGTTTTGTCCATAAAACGGCATTAACAAATTCAATTAACAAGACAGTTCTTTTAAAATGTGCGCATATTTAGTTGAAATATTTCATATCATTTTCATTAAGATTGTCAGTTTTACTCAAAAGGTTATTAATTTATTCATATGAAATTACAATTAATATTGATTATTGCATGAACTAAAGTACATGATGCAGTTATGCCTACATTTCATCTTCACTACTTGCATTGAGGTTGATAATGTCGTGTACGACGCAAGATGTGACAATGTCTTGTATATATTGTTCAAACAAACATAAACTGTATTGTCTTTGTCCTTGTATGATATAACAAACAGCTTGGCTTATCCGGGGTAATAATGTGCTGCGCTTTGATTGTCAGAGCATTCACCCAGAGAAAGGAGCTCAGCACAATATAAATGCACTTATTATTATTATAATCAAATTAATTTCGTTAGATATATCTGAACAATACGCAAAATATACATTATAATACGGAAAGTGCAAGCAACAGGAAAGGGAGATTGTGTAAACTCTTACTCAACCGAGCTTCACCTCAAAGAAATTGCAAAGAAATGTACAACAATGTTGACTACTGATGGCAAATTTCTAACAAAATGATCGCTGACACCGGTTCGCAGGATTTTGCGTGGGACCTTTCTTTGATTCAGGGAACGTTTTGCCCATATGATGTACGTAACCAAAAAGATTTTGACTATCTGCGTATTGTTATTTGTATTTAATGTTTTCAATGTAAGTAAGAGAAGAAGTCAGATATGCCGATAACAGTTTTACCGTTGTCGTGCTGCGTGAATTTGAGTCAATCTTGGCGTCACGGAAACTTTGACCATTTACTATGAACTTACCGAATCACTGTATAGTATGTATTTTTCATGTATAATTTCTTGCTACGATACTCCTTCCAAGCATATTCTAGACGTATTCAGCCAATGCATGCAAACAAATAGACGAAAACAGATGGAAAATTTAAGAAAATGCTTCATAGTGTAAATATTGAATATTTCTTTGTTTACATTTCCAACAAGCACAGCGTTCGTGTTTACATCCTATATGTTTCCTTTGATTTTATCTGGACACTTGGTTTTGGTGACAAAGACCCTTTTGTAATTCTAAAATGTATGAGGAATTCAGAAGTATTTGTAGCAGCTAAGTGTGTAATAAACGTGATTTTGTAAACACTATCCAATTTTCTCGCAAACCTCACTTCGGCGTTCGTATTTGTGTACTTTCCAAAACATCCCAAGCGATTTATCGGTGACGTTCCAGAATTACCACTGGTGATTGATGACAAACAGGCATCAGTAATCACCATTATGTTATTGATGAAATTCCCAGTAATCCCACCGAGTAATTATCCTATTTATATCTCTCAAAACGTACACCGAATAATTACCAGTTTCCTCACACATGAACAAGAATGTAGCCATGTTGAAAGTACTTGAAACGTCAAACTTAGCCACGATAAGGTTGGATCAGATCAACCTTCAATTTTCACCTTAACTAAAGCTACCTTAGCGTAAGCTAGATTTGTGCAATGGGGCGTCAACCTTAGCCAAAGCCCATGGTTAAAACTTAAGGAGATAAGATAATCTTAGCGCTAAGGTTGTTTTGTCCAACGGCACCCAGGTAAACATGTGACTGAAATAATGGTATCTTTCCATTTTGACTACTCCCAGTATGACTTCTCCCAGTTTGACCACACTGTTAAGCCGTCACAGAGCCTGACTACCGGGCAAGTTCAGATATATAATATTGTCTTAGTCCTGGTCTGTAAAAAATCTTCGTTCATTTGCATCGATGTGTTGTATTTTGGTTGTTTGGTCTGGATCTGGATCTGGAACAACATAAGCGATAAAGTGTCAGTTTTGTTAAGCTGTGTATTTGTATGAGTTTTTAACACTGTATTTCATTGGGTGTCACAACAAATAACACCCGAACTACATATTATTTCTCATGCAAATGTACAGGGATGAATGTTACACTTATATTTCCCAAAGGATTCAATGAATCCAGAAAATATAACTGGGCTGTTTAGTTTTGTTCCAGTTGCATTGGGAATAAACAAGATCGATAATCAGTTCTATCCAAACTTAAACACAGTCCATTAAAACATTTAATCTATAACATTTCGTTACACGGCTATTTGAAGGCAGTATGGAACGATACTGTCCGTACCCTCACCTGATACCTGACAAATGGTCGTGTAACGAATTTATTACCTCTTACAAGTTTTAGGTGTCAAATACGAGTAAATATCAAAATAAAGTCATTCTTAAATCGTTTCTCTCTATTTATGTTGTGAAATGAGGCCGAAAACGTTGCGCTATGACGAACATTTGATATTCGAAGGGACATAACTCTTGTAAGCTTAAAGTATGTTTTACGTGAACTTTTCCTGATAGTAAATAGTTGTATTCTCTAAGTGAGTTTCAATATCAAAGATTGCAAACTGTTAAATTTCTTCAATTCTACCCGATGATAGATTAGTACTACCCATGAATCTTTAGAGTATGGTTTCATGTTCATTGGCTTTTAACCAATCAAAAGTCTTCTAATTGCCTTATATGTCTTATTCTTAATATTTGCACTTCGAGGCCGAGAGTTATTTCTACCTTTTCAGTTTCAAATCTACTATACTGAAACCGGTGTCAAATCCACAAAATCGGTTCAGAAGTACTTATATTTTTGTTATGTATAGTTTAGTATGTAAGTCAAGTATTTTGCATAGTTCTGTGAATAAATCACATCTAAATCAACATCAATTATATAAGCTCGTTTAAACGCATTTATGTATGCCCATAGAAAACTTTTTCACAAAATTACTTCATAAAACTTTCACGGTGTACATGTATTATGTATGTGAAAAGTTCGAATACTATCAGTATTATTCCTTACCTCTCTAACTCACATTGCAGACCAACAAGTTCTCTTAGCATTGCCAACAGGTCATCTTTCTGAAACAATCACCATAGGCACCACACATCAACATTCATAGAAGTATAGGTTTATAAATAGTATGAAAAAAATGAGATGATGGGCTTTGACGTTTTCATGCAAACGATACGTGAGTGAGTGAATAAATGTATGAGTTTGGTACAGTGCCGTTTACAGCAACATTCCACCTTTCTAAAATTCCTCACTGTAGAAACCATTGAAACATAATTGATTACAATTCGTTTCCTGTCATCATGGTATGAAATAATCTATCTATTATTAATAAAATCCTATTATCACATATTAACAGTTAAGCGGAATACTTTTGGCTGTTACTGAATCACTTAAGATTTGTATTATCTTACTTAAGAGTTTTTCCTAGTGCTAAAAACTATTAATTTGTATTACTATTGCATTCTTTTAAATCTCCAAGGCACCCATGAAGGGCCACGTCCTCGTGGTGGGTGCTGGGTAACGCTAAGAGCCCTTCAACTCCCCGTTGTGGACCCGGGGGGATATTTGGTCCACCAACCCGTTTGCCGTGGGTTGCGCCCCTGTGTCGGTGGAGGACGGGAGGCTGGTGGTTGAGGGCACTGGTTCCAGGAACAGTGTTCCTTTGCCCAACACACCACTTCGCCCCTTACTTCACCTAGACGGGTGGTTGAACTGGCCCGGTTCAACCAATCGGCTGGTCACGCCAAGCCCTGTGTGTACTACAATTGTGAATTGTAACACAAAATTTTGGGATTTATGTAATGCTATTTTTAAGTCTTGGCCAATTTTTGATCTCATAATTTCAAATACACTATTATATGTATCTTTTTGCCTAGAGTCGTATGCCCAGAAGGCGGTGGCTCATGGGCCAATCTGGTGGAAGAATACATCTTTTACTTTCTTCTGCTGGAGTATATCATCCGAGTATCCTTGGTGCTGCAAGTTGGAAACCCACTTGTTTTAGCATTGTCTTCATGATACTCCATGGTGGGTGGGGAAACCGAAACCCCTATTACCAAAAAGAAACGTCCTCTTGACACAGATCCTGAGGTTAATGACCAACGACCGACCACTTCTATTGAATACTGGCCACGTTTTCTAGTGCTTGAGACTGTTGACAAGACTCCTTTAAAACTGAACCCTTTTGCTGTTTCAAAAGGCATACAAGGCATTGCAGGTGATGTAAAACAGGTCAAACGTTTACGGACAGGTTCTCTACTTGTTGAATGCAGTAAGAGACATCAGGCAAACAACCTTCTGTCAACTAAATCTTTTGTCGGCATTCCCGTATCAGTCTCGGCTCACCGAACGCTTAACACCAGCAAGGGTATTGTGAGAGACCGAGACCGACTGTTTGCTGATGTGCTAGAAATTGACATTGCATCAGAGATGAAGGAACAAGGTGTGCTCTACGTGAAACGTTTCACTGTCCGAAAAAACAATGAGATCCAACAAACGAACACCTATTTGTTTTCATTCTCCACTCCAACTGCTCCTACTTCCATAAAGGCTGGTTACTGTCAAATCAAAGTGGATACGTACATTCCGAATCCACTGAGATGTTTCAAGTGCCAGAAATACGGTCATGGTGTAAATACTTGCACATTGTCTGTTGTGTGTGCTCACTGTGGTGAGAAGACACACACGACAGAAGATTGTGCAAGTAATTATAAGAAATGCACAAATTGTTCTGGAGACCATTCCTCTTTCTCTAAAGACTGCCCAATTTGGAAGCTACAGATGGAGATAAATAAGATCAATTTCACTCAAAATATTAGTTTTGCCTAAGCCAAACAGCTTGTCCAAAGATCGGAATTAAAAGAAACGTATGCCTCCAAAACCAGGACTCCATCTGAGGCAACACTTAAAGTAACTACATCATCTTCAAGCTGCCAAACAAATTTGACTTGGGTGAACACCACTTCTCCACAGATTTTCTCCACTGCAATATCAATTCAAACAGTAGAATCACTTCCTGACAGGTCCGACAGTCAACCAGAGCCAGATCATGATCATGGTACATCATCTCAGTCTACCACAAGGTCTCAATCGCAAGCTCATGTACATCACATTACTAAAGGGAAGAATAAACCTAAGCCTGATTACTCGAAAAAAACAAAGTGGCAGAACCCCAAAAGGGTCTGAAAATAAAATTAACCTTTACAACAAATATGGATCACTTGAGGACATGGACGTGTCCGAAAATGTCCATTCTAGGGCACAAAGCTTGTCGCCCTCCAAAACAGTGCGGGGTAGATCCCCAATAAATCCCCCGAAAAGATAGTTTCTTCGAACAACATCGTACAGTGGAATTGCAGAGGACTACGGCATAATTACAATGAGTTACAGTTATTAGTCCAGGATTGTATGCCATCAGCATTTTGTCTGCAAGAGACATATTTAAAGCAGACTGATTCTTTTGACCTACGTCATTTCAGTGCTTATCATTATTTCTCACCTCCAGGTGACAGGGCCACTGGAGGTTCTTCAATCCTAGTCAAACAGTCTGTTATCCATAGCCCTATTACACTTACTTCTAATCTTCAAGCAGTTGCAGTGCGACTCACTTTACACGTTGCATTTACATTATGCTCCTTATATATCTCACCGTCTTCAGTCATTCAGAAGACTGATCTTCAAACTCTGTATGACCAACTCCCTAAACCCTGTATTATTATGGGGGGACTTGAATGGCCACAACCCACTTTGGGGTAGCATAAATACAAACGCTAAAGGTAAACAACTGGAGGAGTTTTGTTCAGACAATGATTTGTGTATTTATAATGATGGTTCCAACACGTATTTACACCCTGGTACAGGAACCTATTCTGCTCTCGACTTATCAATCACGAATTCAGAATTACTAAATGAATTTGAATGGTCAGTCCATGATGACCTATGTGGAAGTGACCATTTTCCTACTGTACTGAAAACCTGTAAGCCCATCTGATATTACTCCATATTCGAGATGGAACTTTAAAAAAGCTAACTGGCCTTTGTACCAAGCTCTGTGTTGTAGCAGACTTAAACCCGAACTCTTTATAGAATGTACTGATCCTATAAAAGATTTCTCTGATTAACTAATTAATATTGCTGATGAGTGTATCCCCAAATCCTCTGCAATTCCACACATACGAAAACCATGGTTCACCAATGAGTGCAAACAGGCTAGGAAGGCACGGAAGAAAGCTGAGAATTATTTCCGTCGCCATCCTATGGTCCATAATTTGAATAAATTCAAAATTTTAAATGCTAAGGCACGGCGTACCTTCAAGCAAAGTAAACGTCAATCCTGGCGAACTTATGTCTCAAAAATAAATTCACGAACGCCGATATTAAAAGTATGGAATATGATCCAGAAAATAAAAGGTAAGGGTTCTAAATGTAGCATTAAGCATCTGAAAGATGGAGACGAATTATTAACTAGTCAATCTGATATTGCAAATAAACTTGGAGAAACTTTGGCCAAACACTCTTCCTCATCGAATTATTTACCTCAATTCCAAAATTATAAAAAAACAACAGGAAAAGAAAACTATTAATTTCATTTCAGATAATGGGGAAGATTACAATGAACTATTTTCTATTCATGAGCTTCATACTGCTCTTGATCAAGCTCATGATACGGCTACAGGTGCTGATAACATACATTATCAGCTCCTGAAACACTTACCGGATTCATGCTTAGAAACCCTTTTAAACATTTTTGATAATATTTGGACTTCTGGACAATTTCCTTCTTCATGGCACGATGCTATTATTGTACCCATCCCTAAACCTGGACGTGATCATACTGATCCTTCCAATTATCGACCAATCTCATTAACTAGCTGCGTTTGCAAGACCATGGAGCGCATGATAAATAATCGACTTGTGTGGTACTTGGAAACTAATAACCTTATAACAGACATTCAATGTGGTTTCCGTAAAAACAGAAGTACTATCGATCATCTAGTGCGTTTAGAATCCTTTATTAAAAATGCCATTATTAAAAAACAACATGCAGTGTCGATGTTTTTCGATTTAGAAAAAGCATATGACACCACATGGAAACATGGTATTTTAAGAGATTTACACGATTTTGGATTGAGAGGCCGTTTGCCTCTTTCTATCTCACAGTTTTTAACGGACAGGCAATTTCAAGTTCGCGTGGGTTCTACCCTGTCTGATCATTTCAATCAGGATCAGGGTGTCCCACAAGGCAGTATTTTATCTGTCACACTTTTTAGTATTAAAATAAATAGTCTGTCAAAGGTTTTAAGTGATTCAATCGATGGATCTCTTTTCGTGGATGATTTTAATATTTCTTGCCGTGGTAAAAACATGCGAACTATTGAGAGACAATTACAAATTTGTCTCAACAAAATTCATAAATGGTGTCTTGAAAACGGGTTTAAATTTTCGAAATCCAAAACCAACTGTCTACATTTTTGTAGGAAATACAAACCCCATAAAGATCCAGAATTATCATTAAATGGCACACCCATCAAAGTTGTCAAGGAAGCTAAATTCCTTGGTCTCATCTTTGATTCGCATTTAACCTTTCTGCCACATATCAAAAATCTAAAAGCCAAATGCCTGAAGGCACTCGACTTGTTGAAAGTCGTTTCCAGTTCAAAGTGGGGAGGGGACCAAACCACCCTCCTTCATTTGTATAGATCACTGGTCCGATCGAAACTTGATTACGGCTCTATCGTATATGGTGGGGCCTGTAAAAGCAACCTCAAACTACTTGATTCTATCCATCACCAGGGTCTAAGACTTTGTCTTGGGTCTTTCAGAACCTCTCCCATTGACAGTCTCTACGTTGAGGCCGATGAGCCATCTTTAAAACTTCGCCGTATCAAATTGTCCCTACAATATATCACAAAGTTACATTCTAATGAATCCAATCCTGCTCACACTTGCGTTTTTAATCCTCTTGTCTTGTATAATAAAAAAACCTTCACTTGTTCCACCTCTTGGGATAAGAATCCAACAATATATTTCTGCTGCTGGCATTGAGTTGGAGAATATATCTCCTTCCCGTCTTCTTTCTTCTCCTCCTTGGCATTTAGTGAGGCCACAAGTTGACCTAACACTGACAAAGTTTACAAAATCCGAAACTAACGAATTACAGTATAAACAAGAATATAATCAATTAAAGAATAACTATAATACATACAAATCCTTATTTACAGATGGGTCCAAGGATGGTGGCGCAGTGGCATGTGCCACTGTCATTGGATCCAGAACAATATCTTCAAGAATACCAGATAACAGCTCTATATTTACAGCAGAAGCAAACGCCATATTAACGGCTCTTAAATATATTCAACGACATCCTAAACATAAACAATACATAATCTTTTCCGATTCCCTTTCATGTCTTCAGGCTATTAAAATCTTTCTTGCAAACATCCACTTTTATTAGAAATTATTGAATTGTACAATGAACTTGCTACTGGCCAATGCGACATCGTCTTTGTTGGTTGCCCAGCCACGTTGGCATTTCTGGGAACACGATGGCTGATATTGCTGCTAAGGCAGCCCTCAACAAATCTGTGACACCACTTCTTATCCCATACTCTGATTATAGAGCCAGCATTAGAACATACATCCGCGATCTGATGCAAAGAAGTGGGACACCCAAGTAGGTATTAATAAATTACATGCAATAAAACCCTACATTGGTTACACTTACTTTGGTTGTCAGTCCAGATTTGAAGAGGTCATTATATGACGATGTCGCATTGGCCATACCAGATATACTCATGAATATTTATTGAAAGGCGAAGATCCTCCGTTTAGTATCCCTTTGTGATGAAGAATCACAGTCAAGCATGTCCTGCTTGACTGTGTTGAATATTCCATCACAAGGGATAAGTATTTTAATGTCAAGACATTGAAGGATCTTTTTTATAATGTTAGTACTCATTTAATCATTGCATTTTTAAAAGAATTAGATTTGTTAAGGATTTGTAAATAGATAAATATTTTATTATTGGTAATTAAATTAGTAACTGAGATTGTTAGTGGCTGTACCCTCAAAGGGGGTTGAAGTAGCGTAAAATTATTGTCCTCCTGAGAGGGTACGTAAGTCCCAAAACATTTCAAGTCAGTTTAAGTGTACCAGGTTTTTAATCGTAGTATATTTGTGTTTTTAATGTATGGGTAAATCTCAGCATCAACGCCAATGGCTGAAGGGGTGGTGTAAATCCAGCTAGGGTCCATGCAGGTAGCAAAAGTAATGTAAGTCCCCATGGTTCCTAGTATGGTGATCTACCTTCAGTTGTTGGCGCTCTATAGCCCGTATTTTATATTGTATTGTCTTCTTTAATTGGAATATTTTAACTTTGCGCTAGTTTTATATTTATAACTGTGATTCTCTAGTCTTTTTACTGTCCATCGTCGACAGGTTTTAATCTTTAAAATGTTTCTACTTTTCATTGTATGGCTTGTTTTCGTCACGATATGGCTGCAATATTGCCGATGTGGAGTTAAATCTTAACTCACTCACTCATTTAAATCTCCAATGTTCAAAGTTGAAGAAGTTAAAGGGCGGTAATCTATGCTGTCATACAATAACGTATGACATTGCTTAAAAGTCACATGCAACCAAAAAATCAAACATAATTAAAACACAATTATCACTTATTCATGACATATAATATACATTGCTGGTTATGAGAAAAACATATAAACAAAATTATAAGCGTACAATTGCAAATCAAAAGTGCAATATTGTGTACTTGGGTTTACTTCCCAAGAAACGAATCAGCTGGGATACCGAACCCAGTCAGAGCGGGTGGGTGTGCACTCAAGTGTAACGGCTGGCTCATTTGCAGATGCCCTCACGGCTCATTGTGTGTGTATATATAGAGATGTTGGGTTTTGTAAATACATGCTCATTTTTTGTGTATAACATTTTGCAATCAACAGACATCATAACATGTCATGTGTTCAAGTATCACACCTGCCTGTCTGTGTAATTACATAATGTGACAGAGACCGAACTCGGGCCATAAATCAATGCATTTTGTTTATGGTGTATAGCTGATTGGTGTTAAGTTCAAATTGCATGTGGTCAGTGATATCAGCTGTGTATTGAATATTGTCATTAGCAGACAGGCAGGCAGACACACAGGTGGCAATAATAATAATTCTAATTGTGGCTTTGAAAAAGAAATAGACTTACCCATGAACGAGCAGTCGTTCTGGCGTGTGTTCCATCAACTGTCATAATCATATGAAACATGATATAATTAGCGCCAATATTTCACAAATACTTTGATTAATATTCGTTTATTTAACGCAACTACAGGTAACGATTTATCAACGTGAACAGCGGTTAAAAGAATTAATAATAATAATAATGGTTACTTGCGTATGTCAAAAGCACTAACGCGTTACTACCCTGGATAACCCACGCTGTGACAGTCATATGACTTATCTCACCGGGTACCCATTCACTCCTGGGATAACAGCGGCAATTCATGAACAAACCCACTTGCCTAAGGTAGGACCACATATGTCAAGTGTGCTTCGTTGTGGTGCAGGACTGAAGTCCTACAACTGACTGACTGAGTTTGGTTTTTACGCCGCTTTGAGCAATATTCCAGGAACATCACGGCGGGGGACACCAGAAATATGCTTCACACATTGTACCCATATGGGGATTCGAACCCGGATTTTCGGCGTGACGAGCCAACGCTTTAACCACTAGACTACCCCAACGCCCGAAGTCCTAGAAACTCTAAGGAGTCAAGCTACCAAACACGGCCAGCCATCCAAGGATTGTCCGCGACTAACGTTATTTAGCTTCAACTTATGTGTGACCTACACACACCGCCAATCATATATTTGCTTACTCAACTCGCATCCACTAACAAGAGCTTATACACAATCAGGATTAATTATATGAATGAGTTTTTAACACTGTATTGTAAAACACCCAAGGTAATTTCTCAAAACACATAACATCCAAATTACATATTATTTCTCATGCGAATGTACAGGAACGAGTGTTACACGTAAACTTCCCAATCAATCCATAAAATATAACTTTACCAGCTACCAACGGATTAGAGATCAACAGCAAGTCCTTTATCATACGAACTAGTCTGATAGTATTGTTTCACGTACCTACAGTCTTTAGTGGTTCTTCCTTATCCTCCAGTTCTACAAGGTGCCTGAAATAGTTTGTAAAAAATGTCCACATCATAGAGATTCTAGCATCAATAATATTGCGTGTTTTGATTGACTAGTAATTGTAACATTATCACACGTTAATGACAAATAGTGTCATTACAATTCGAAACATCGAGCCATTATTGTTGCAAAGCTCTTTTTTTGTGTCGTGATTGTTAAATGATCTGGCGGAGTTTGAGGCAAAGATATATGATTTAAACATATTTATTTCATGGAAAAAAACAAACAACGAAATTTTCATGAATTTGATTGGCCGACAAGCTCAAAAAGAACTCGTATGTAGACCGCTCCAATATACATAGATATATTAAACAGTGACAAGAAAAATGATATCTAATGAAAATAAATGTTATGACATGGAGTAAAAAAATTAGGATCATGATGGTTGTATACATTTATAGCATTTGAAGTCGGGGTCAATAGTAATATAAGTTATGAGAATTATAGGTTGTAGCATATGATTATCTCAGTTAAAACGTCTTGTTTCAATTATGAATTGATGGACCGATTTTAAGATATCGGATCGAGTTTGTGGGTTCATGGAAGACATTCCATATAAGATTGTTTCTAATGAAAAGCCATTGGTATAATAAAATTTATTTACTCTTATAGCATCAAATATGGGACATATACTTGCCACATAAAGAAACTGTGCATTGTCAAAATATTATCCCAGTTGATAAGTACTATAACAATGTCAAAGGTGCATATAAACTTTAATGGAGGGATCATGAGCGTGCAAGGAAGGCTTGTGGGATGTCACGTAGACGTCGATCCATCTCGTCCCAAACATGCTCTATCGGGGAGAGATCCGGTGAATTGGCAGGCCAAAGCAGTAAGTCAACGTTGTGGTGTTGCAAGAAATCCATAGCAACCCATGCCGTATGAGGGCGGGCATTGTCCTGTTGGAATGTTAACCCAGGGCCATGACGTTGCAGAAAAGGAATTGCCACAGGTGGAAGACTCTGATCCCTGTAGCCCACACCAGTTAAGTTGCCCTGAACAATCACCAAAGGAGTTCTTTGGCGTGCTGTTAATCCACCCCAAATCATCACGGAACCACCACCAAAGCGATTCCTCTACAAGACACAGGCCTGTGCATAACGTTATCCCACGCGTCTATAGGCACGTTGACGTCCATCACTATGGGAAATGTTAAACCTGGACTCATCTGTAAAAACAGCATTTCTCCACCAAAACAAGGGTCTGCGGACATGATTTCAGCACCACATTCGGCGAGCTTGTCGATGACGTTGTGTCAGGATAGGCCGTATGGCGGAACGTCGTGGTCTGATCCCGTGATGACGTAAACGTTGTCGAACTGTGTTGGGGTGGATACGGCGAAGTCCTGGGATGGTTCGGGCAGTCATCACTGCAGTCTGAAACCTGTGGCGCAGATGGGTCACCCTTATCCATCTGTCCTGTCTTGGCGTTGTTACACGTTGACGTCCAGAACGTGGCCGATCGATGACGTCATTTGTGTTCTGGTAGCGTCTCACCAGTGCAGAAATGGTGTTCCGGTGGCAGTGGAAATGTGCAGCCACTTGTCGTTGAGACATTCCCCCACGGACCATCCCAATGGCCTCATGACGTTGTGCAGACGTGAGCCTTGGCATGCTATGCGTTTCAATAGCCGTTTATTTTTTTCAACGATCGCAAGGGCAGGGGTTGAGCTTTCCAAAGTGACAGTATTGTGTGACATTCGTTTGCTCTGTTTCTCTTTCCCGGAATGCACGTGCAACAACGTATTGCACGTCTCAAGAAAGAACCCACTGACGTCACGGAACGTGGCACGTACATGCATGTTGGATACATGTCACTAATCTCTGAGTTAGAATCCTTATGTGTCTACACAGGTTGGATAAATTTAGATTTTAAATTTTTGTATGCACAGTTTCTTTATGGGCCTAGTATAGAAAGAAGTAATGACGTGTATCTTCAGTAGGGTGGCCACACAAACCATCTGCTCTCTCCGATATATGTCTGTTGTGTTTGTCAGCCTTGAGATCGCTACATTCTAACCTTAAACGACAGTGGAGTATTTGACAAACTCTTGAACCTATATTTCGATCGAAATGAATATTTTTAGCTCTGGGACTTAAGGCAGATTTGAAATCATTGAGGTCTTCAAGAGATTTAATATTTTGCGGTAAAGTATTTCATAAACTTACAGCGTCTGGTAAAAAGGAATTGTCATATAGAGCCGTACGGCAGGCGATAGTTTGCAAATGTGATGCGTTACCTAACGGAAAGTTACTGACTTGAGGGAGGGACAAATTCGTTAAGATAGTTAGGTAATCTGTTATGATACATTTTGAAAAATATGACTAGCTTTGCTATTCTTCTCCTTTTGCAAAGAGAAACAGAGGATGTTTCAGCGAAGATTTTATCGTGACTGGTGCCGCGAATAGCTTCGCATATCGTACGTAACGCGTCTAGGCGCATGTTTTCCAAGATTGTTGCTTGGGTTTTGGTGCAATTGTCATAAATATGGCTACAGTAGTCAAAGATCGGAAGAATAAACGACGTATAATACGTTTCAGGGTGTTTCTCCTAAGACGTTATTTAAGGCTTCTTGAGCACTTTATCATGAGGCTGACTCTCTTAACGATGTCATTTATATGAATGTCCCATGTACAATCGTTTTGAAGAGTTATACCTAAATGTTTATAGCTCGAAGTTTCGTCAATTCGAACGTCGTTGAAAAACACGCCTGGATGAGGATTTGAATTTGATCTCCTACTGAATAAGACTGTTTTAGTTTTTGATGGGTTGAAATCGACTTTCCAGATTTTTGCCCAGTTTGCTCTTTTCAGTAGATCATTATTTACACTAAACGCCGCTACATAAGGGTCATCTATTATTACATAGATAGAAGTATCATCGGCAAATAATCGTATATTACTGTCAATGCCTTACACAATATCATTAATATAGACCAAAAACAGAAGTGGTCCTAGAACAGAACCCTGCAGGACGCCAGCTTTTACCGGTTTAATATTAGAACTATAACCATTTATGACTACACGCTGGGATCGATATTCTTAATAACTTTTAAACCATTGTAATAGTGAACCATCAATTCCACAAGATTTTAACCTATGCACGAGACCTTTGTGCCACACTCGGTCAAAAGCTTTGCTCATATCGCAAAATACTGCGCGTATTTCCTTACCTTCGTCTATTGCCTTGGCTATGAAATTATACAAATTGTTTCACGCAAGAGTCCCCTGGGATGAAACCTGACTGTAAATTGGGATAAGATGTTATTGCCTCTGAGGTAATTGAAAACATGTTTGAATATATATCGCTCAAATATTTTAGATACACAACTAGTAAAAGCTACTGGTCTGCAATTTGTACAATCATTTACACTTCCCTTTTTATGAATCGGTATAACGATTGCTTCTTTCCAAACTGCCGGGAATACGTGATAGATTATAAAGTCTGGTTAAAAGGGGTGAAATCATGGCAGCGATTAATTTAAGAATTCTATTCAGGGCCGGTTGCTTTCGTAGTATTAACACTCACTAAGATATCATATACTTCACTGTTAGTAAGATTAATTTCTGATAGACTATTGATTATCTTTATATTAGGGGGTGTTGAATCCGGATTTTCTACTCGCGATTGCCGAGTGAAATAATCATTTAAAGAATCTGTTATATCTTGTAAATCTTCGCTTACAACATCATTCAAAATCAACGGGGGGAAAATTAGAGTTGTTATTATTTCTCTTCACGTAATTATTGACTAATTTCCACCAACATTTGTCCGTAGCTGATCGATTTATCATTTCATCTAGTTCATGTGCATACGCTCTTTTCGCTGTTTGGATAGCCGAGATTAAGTTATTTCTACTTTGTCTGAATCGAGCCCAAAGGGTAACAGAAGTGTTCCTCCTAGCGAGGCAATGATGTCTGTTGCTTACGTGTTAGCGATCTAATTTCGTTATTCATCCAAAGTGGATCCGATGGTCAAATAGTAACAATTTTTATTTGGGATATTCTTGTCACAAGTATTCCTTATTATAGTCGTCATTTTATCCCGCCGGGTACATATTCACCGCTGGGTGAACAGAGGCAATTCATAAACAAACACACTTGCCTAAGGTGAGACCACATGTGTCAAGTGTGCTTCGTTGTGGTGCATGACTGAAGTCCTAAAAGCTCTCATTAGTCAAGCTGCCAAACACGGTCACCCATCCAAGGATTGTCCGCGACTAACGTTATTTAGCTTCAACTTATTTGTAACCTATGCACAAGAGTTCTATGCACAAGACCACACCACCAATCATATATTTGCTTACTCATCTCGCATCCACTAACAAGAGTTCATACATAACCAGAATTAATTGTTTGAATGAGTGTTTAACACTGTATTGTACACCCAAGGTAATTTCTCAAAACACATAACATCCAAATTACATATTATTTCTCATGCGAATGTACAGGAACGAGTGTTACACTTAAACTTCCCAAAGGAGGATTCGATGAGTCCAGAAAATATAACTTTACCAGCTACCAACGGATTCAAGAACAAACAGCGAATAAAGATACTTCAACAACAGACAGTCGGGCATGCTCCTGACAGGGCAGGACATACTCACACTTTTCGCAAACATCTAGTTTCAAAACTAATGGTTACTAATTCCTTCTTACGAGATGGATGTTCACTGAGGTAGACGTTTAGTTCAGATTGCATTGAGAATGTAGACAAGATCGAGAATCACTTCCATGCAAACTCAAACACAATCAATTAAATGTCTATAATATTCCTTACACGGCCACTTGCCAGATAGAACAGAATGGTACGGTATGTTTGAATCCGTATTTCCTTCCTTCAGCCTCAGGAAATATGGCCTCAAACGGACCGTACCATCTCATACTACCTGGAAAATGAGCGTGTAACGAATTTATTACCCTTTACCTGTTTTAGGTGTCAAATTCTAGTAAATGTCATAATAAAGTCATTCTCGAAACGTTTCTCTTCTATTTCTTTCGTGGATTGAGATGGACTGTCGCGGAGGAACATTTGATGTTCGAAGGGACATAACTCTTGTTAGCTTATGTAAGTTTTAAGGGACTTGGGTTTTTTTCAAATCATACCACCACTTAAGAAGTTAAGATATATTTTAAAGCCAGTCGATTTCCAATTCATGGATAAAAGCTCCTATTCTTAAAATAAAAATAATAAAGAGAAGTTTTCGCGACATTAAATAGTTGAATTCTCCAAGTGAGTTGGATTTCATTATCAAAGTCGCAAACTGATTAAGTTGTCCTAATACTACCCGTGAAACTTTAGAGTGCGGTTTCATATGAATTGGCTACTAACCAATCAAAAATCTTTATCTACCTTATCTACAGGTAATAATATGTGTTATTGTTAATATTTGCACTTGGCGGTCAAGAGTAAATATTATACATTTTCAGTTTCAAATCTGCCGCACTGAAACCGGAGTCAAGGCCACAAAATCGGATCAATCGGAACATGTTTGTTATATAGAGTCCTGCATGTATATCTAGATTTTGCATCAAGGAATGTTTGCATTTTTAAATTCCAGGTTAAACTGTACCGGAAGCCAACCTACCTTTTACGTTTCTTCTTCGGGCAATTGTAGTTATCAACTTCATCGCAACTGGGTTCCAAATTGCCAACAGCTCTTGGAAGGCCACGCGAGAATTCATTATTGACTCTCGTCGTTGTAGAGTGTTCTGTGACTAAAACTTGAAAAAAACACAACAACATCGATGATATGAAGTCGTATACACGCGTTTACGTATTCCCAAAGAGAACCTTTTGCACAAAAATACTTCAATTCAGCAATCATCAAGTTTTTACGGTGTACATGCATTATGCCTGTGGAAATTATTTTCATTATCATATATTACCTCTCCGCATCCTTTGAAATTTCCGATTCTGATCTCCTCTTGGCTTTGTACACGGATTCTCTTTCTGGAATATTCATGATAACCCCCCATATATCAACATTGAAAGAAGTATAGGTTTTGTATATTCGTTTGTCGGTTAAAGGACAGATGTGCGCAATGTATGAAATGTACCAGTGGGCATGGTTATTATGCAGCTATACAAATGTGAAACCATTAAGCAACACTACGGTGCAAATGTACGATGATAAACACAAATCAGAAGCTCATAAACATTTTCTCCACCAAGGATATATTTAGTAGCACGGACCTAAAGACCCTGAAGTATATCCAAATCGTATATAAGATGTATGTAGCCTTCACTATATAAATATGATGTAAAGGTTCTTATCGCATGTATATTAACAAAACAGTGAGCAGACATAAATTGCTCACAGTATAAAAAAATAAGATGACGGGCTTCGACATTTTCAGGCAAACAATAAGTGAGTGAAACGCAAATATTATGAATTACAACTTCTTCTTTTTCTGTATATCACAACGTATCTGGGCTATTCCTTGCCCTTTTGTCAGGTGAATTGTAACCAACAAGATTCATCAATGAGTATATATACTAAATGTACAAGAAGCCAGTGGTGCATGTATATACAATAAATTGGATAAGACACGGGAGATGAAAGAGTGAGATGTACAGATGATGGGCATTGTTTATACAAGAGAAGAGTTTATACAAGTGATTTGCAGGTGGGTAGAAGCCAGAAATGAGCTAATTGACTTCCCAGGGCACGAGGGAGGTATACCCTGGGGATCCCTGTTCAGCTGATCGGTTGTAATTGTCTTATCATTAAAGACTCTAATAGTTTGCACTTGCACCAATCATGGACATTAGTGGTTAATATGGTTGATTGTTGTCAGTCAATGGAATGAGTAGGTTTTTTTTGGACGATGTGCTCTGAGAGAGCTGATTTTTGGTCCATTTTTTAACAGATGTTTTGTGCTCCTTCAGTCGTATGTCAAATAAGTGAGAGAATGAATGTATGAGTTTGACACTATACCGTTTATAACACTTTTCCATCTTTTTTCAAATTTGTCACTGTAAGAAACATTGAAACATGACTGAAGGCAATTCGTGGTATGAAATACTCTGTCAACTATTATTCTATTATTTCATATAAACAGTTAAGCGGAATAGTTTTAGTAAGGTACATCAGGCTGTCAATGAATCACTTATTATTTGTATTATCTTGCCTAAAAGGTTTTTTCTGAGTGCTCAGTATTATTACTTTGTATTATTATTGTGGTTTGTGTTTAACCTCCAATGTGCAAATTTGAATTGTCGGGTTGTCAGGCTCGCTGACTTGGTTGCCACATGTCATAGTATCCCAGTTGCTGAGATCGCTGATCATGCTGTTGATCACTGCCGCCATACATATTGCTGTAATATAGCTGTAAAACTAAGCACTCTGGCGACAATTGGATTGTATTTTGTTTTTTATTTATTCATGCATTCGTACTTGAGTTAAGCATAAGGAATCAACTTGAACAAAATGATCAAAACATGTGCTCTGGGCCGAAGGACTTGAATCTTGAATCTTGAATCTTGAAATTATCAGTAAATGTGCCGCTGTACCCTGAGGGCACGTGTCTGTCATTTGGTGTGCGGGAACCCTATCATTGTTTGCCCTGTTGAGGAATCTAGCGTATTCAGCACTTTCCACAAACTAACATGCTAAAGGTCTCAGGCATCACTTCGGGCTTATTCCAGAATCAAACAGGTCATCTTATATCTACTTTTCAACCACTCATGTAGTCCAGGAAGACAAACTGTACTCACATTGACAGGTCGTATAGGTGCTTTCATAATCCTTTGGGGAACATGTATTCCATGATTTGGTCCTGGAACACAATAATGTCCTTTTGAGACAACGTATATTGCTCACAAATACATCTTATATCAGGTGAGCAGACAATAAATGAGACCTATGAATTTATTCTATTTGGTTATTTTTAAACTGATAAATCCTTAATCATCAAGGACGGAAACGTTTGTTCTGAAATGAATCAGCAGTTATCTTTGTTAGTGTATGATATGATGTAATGAGCTGTCTACATTACAACAGTAAAATAATATGCTCTGGTGGACATGTTCGTTTCTGAGCCGATGGTGGTCATGTTGTACCAAGGAAAAGAAACGAGTTTAAACTGTTACATGAACAATAGTGTATGTAATACAAGCTTATCTAAAAATGGATCGGTGAACGTGTTATGTGGAGAATCTGACAATATGAATCATACCTTCTGGTTCATTGTTAGAGCCGGTTAATGACGATGTCCTGGATCCTGAGAGGAAGGTATCTTTACTCTGAAGGTAACATGCACTTATTACCATGAATATACAACAAAATATCAACAACAGATATCTATTGTCCAATATTCAGAGGGAATAATACACAACAATAAAATAGGATATTATATATTGTTCCTTTGAATCTGTTGTCTGGCCCTACTAATTCTACAAGTCAAAATCCAGGTTAGGATTGGTCTACAGCAACACATGTTGTCGTAAGAAACGACTAACGGGAACAGATGGTCAGGCTAGCTGACTGTCGATTTCAATCCCATAGATATGGATGCGTATGATGTCAATCACTGGGTTGTCTGGTCCCGATTCGAATAATGACGGACCGTCATCATATGGCTGCACAATTTCTAATTGTGGCGTTGAAAAAGAAATAGACTTACCCATGGACGAGCAGTCGTTCTGGCGTGTGTTCCATCAACTGTCATAATCATATGAAACATGATATAATTAGCGCCAATATTTCACAAATACTTTGATTAATATTCGTTTATTTAACGCAACTACAGGTAACGATTTATCAACGTGAACAGCGGTTAAAAGAAATAATAATAATAATAATGGTTACTTGTGTATGTCCAAAGCACTAACGCGTTATTACCCTGGATATGACTTATCTCACCGGCTACCCATTCACTGCTGGGAAAACAGAGGCAATTCATGAAGAAACTCACTTGCCTAAGGTAGGACCACATATGTCAAGTGTGCTTCGTTGTGGTGCAGGACTGAAGTCCTACAACTGACTGAGTGACTGAGTTTGGATTTACGCCGCTTTGAGCAATATTCCAGCAACATCACGGCGGGGGACACCAGAAATATGCTTCACACATTGTACCAATATGGGGATTCGAACCCGGATTTTCGGCGTGACGAGCCAACGCTTTAACCACTAGACTACCCCAACGCCCGAAGTCCTAGAAACTCTCAGGAGTCAAGCTGCCAAACACGGCCAGCCATCCAAGGATTGTCCGCGACTAACGTTATTTAGCTTCAACTTATTTCTGGCCTACACACACCGCCAATCATATATTTGCTTACTCAACTCGCATCCACTAACAAGAGCTTATACACAATCAGGATTAATTGTATTAATGAGTTTTGAACACTGTATTGTAAAACACCCAGGATAATTTCTCATAACACATAACATCCAAATTACATATTATTTCTCATGCAAATGTACAGGAACGAATGTTACACTTAAACTTCCCAATCAATCCAGAAAGTATAACTTTACCAGCTACCAACGGATTAGAGATCAACAGCAAGTCCTTTATCATACGACCTAGTCTGATAGTATTGTTTCATAGTACCTATAGTCTTTAGTGGTTCTTCCTTACCCTCTAGTTCTGTGACGTGCCTGAAATAGTTAATAAAATATATCCACATCATAGTGATTCTGACATCAATAATATAACATGTAACGTGACTAATAATCGTTACATCATCACACGTTAATGACAAATAGTGTTATTACAATTCGAAACATCGAGCCATTATGGTTGTAAACCTCTTGTTTGTGTCGTGATTGTTAAATGATCAGGCGGAGTTTGAGGCAAAGATACATCCACAACAGTCAGTCGGGGATACTCCTGACAGGGCAGGACAAGTTTACACTTTCCGCAAACATCTGGTTTCATGGCTAATGGTTAATAATTCCATCATATCGAGATGGATGTTCACTGAGGTAGACGTTATATACGAGTATGTTTAGTTTTGCTCCAATGGCATAGGGAATATGTAGACAAGATCGAGAATGAGTTCCATCCAAACTCAAGCACAATCAATTAAACGTCTATAACATTCGTTACACGGTCATTTCTCAGCATCAGGAAATATGGCTTCAACGGACTGTACCATCCCATACTACCTGGCAAATGACCGTGTAACGAATTTATTACCCTTTACTTGTTTTAGGTGTGAAATTCTAGTAAATGCCACAATAAAGTCATTCTTGATACGTTTCTCTTCTATTTCTGTTGTGGATTGAGATGGAAAGCGGTTCATGCAATGATTGTGGCAACTGGACGAGGGACAACTCTTGTTAGTATGTCGTTTAAGGGACGTGTTTTTTTCAAATCATACCACCGCTAAACTATATATTAAGTCCCATCGAGTTCCAATTCATGGTTAAAATAGCCTATTCTTAAAATGAAAATGGTAAAGAGAGCTTTTCGTGATATTAAATAGTTGAATTCTCCAAGTGAGTTGGCTTTCATTATCAATCAAAAATCTTTATCTACTGAAAGAGGTATCACTTTAGAGTGGGGTTCTAAATGGCTAAATCAAAAATCTTTACCTACTGTATCACTTTATCTAAAGGTAATAATATGCGTTATTGTTAATGTTTGTACTTCACGGTCGAGAGTTATTTTTATACATTTTCAGTTTCAAATCTGCTGCACTGAAAACGGAGTCAAGGCCACAAAATCGGATCAAAAGTACAATATGTTTGTTATATAGAGAGTCCTGTATGTATGTATGTCTAGTGTTTGTATCAAGGAATTTTTGTATTTATGAATTCTTGTTTAACTGTACAGGAAACCAACCTACCTTTTACGTTTCTTCTTCATGCAGTTGTAGTTATCATCTTCATTGCAACTGGGTTCCAAATTGTGAACAGCTCTTGGAAGGCAACGCGAGAATTCATTATTGACTCTCGTCGGTGTAGAGTGTTCTGTGAGTAAAATGTTAAAAACACCAACAACATCAGTGACATGAAGTCGACTACATGCGTTTACGTATTCTCATAGAGAACCTTTTTCACAAAAATACTTCAATTCAGCAGTCATCAAGCTTTCACGTTGTACATGCATTATGCATGTGGAAAGTATTATCATTATTATACATTACCTCGCCACATCCTTTGCAATTTCCGATCCTGATCTCCTCTTTGCTTTGTACACGGATTCTCTTTTCAAAGAAGTATAGGCTGAAATATTCATGATAACCCCCTTTTCTATATCTCAACATTCAAAGAAGTATAGGTTTTGTACATTCGTTTGTCAGTAAAAGGACATATGTAAGCAATGTATAAAATGTACCAGTGGGCATGGTTATTGGACATCTACACAGATATGAAACCATTAAGCACGTATACGGAACAAATGTACTGTGATAAACACAAATCAGAAGCCCACAAATATTTCCTACACCAAGGATATTTTCAGTAGAACAGGCCTAAAGGCATAATAGTACATAATATATGTGTAGCTTTCAATGTATAAATATGATATTATCGCATGTCTATGAACAAGACAGTGAGCAGACATAAATTGCTCACAGTATAAAAATAAGATGATTGGCTTCGACCTTTTCAAGCTAACAATACGTGAGTGAATGAATGAATGAGTTTGGCACTATGACGTTTATAACAATTGACCATCGTTTCCAAATTTATCACTGTAGAAACCATTGAAACATGATTGAAGAGATTCGTGGTTTGAGATATTCTGTCAACTATTATTCTATTATTTTATCAGGTACATCAGCTGTCAACGATTCACTATTTGTATTATTTACCTAAAAGCTTTTTCTGAGTGCTCAATGTTATTACTTTGTTTTATTATTGTGGTTTCTTTTTAACCTCCGATGTGCAAATTTGAGAGGGTTTATGGGAGGTAATCTATGCTGTCATGAAATTGCGCATGACATTGTTTGAAATAATTTCAAAGCTCTGATGACATTTGACCCGTGAAGATACGGGTTAGAATATTGATCTTCAGTAACCTATGCTTGTCGTAAGTGGCGACTAACGGGATCGGGTGGTCAGGCTCGCTGACTTGGTTGACACATGTCATAGTACTTCAATTGCGTAGATCGATGCTCATGCTGTTGATCACTGGATTGTCTGGTCCTCTATTGCCTTGTTATTTACAGACCGACGCCATATAGCTGGAATATTGCTGAGTGCGGCGTAAAACTAAAATCGCTCACTCACTCTGATGACATTTGGATTGCATTTTGTTTGTTTTTATATTTATTGATACATCTGTACTTGTGTTCTGTTATGATAAGGAATCAAATGATCTAAACATGTGCTCTGGGTCGGAGGATTTATATACTGTATCTAGAATCTTGAACCTTAAATCTTGAATATTGAATCTTAAAATTATCAGTAAATGTGCCACTGTACCCTGAGGGCACAGGTCTTTGAAATACAGTTTGCCCTGTTAAAGAATCTAGTGTACTCAGCATATTCCACAAACTAACATGCTAAAGGCCTAAGCCATCATTTAGGACCTATTCCAGAATCGAACAGGTCATGTTATAACTACTTTTCAGACACTAATGCAGTCCAGGAAGACAAACTGTACTCACATTGACAGGTAGTAAAGGTGCTTTCATCATTCTCTGAGGAACATGTATCCCATGATTTGGTCCTGGAACACAATAATGTCCTTTTGAGACAACGTATATTGCTCACAAATATATTATATATATATATAAGGTGAGCAGACAATAAATGAGACCTATGGATTTATTCTATAAGGTTACTTTTAAACTGATAAATCCTTAATCATCAAGGACGGAAACGTTTGTGCTATAATGAAACAGCAGTTATCTTTGTTAGTGTGCCATATGATGTAATGAGCTGTCCATATTACACTAGTGAAATAATAAGCTCTGGTGAATATCTTCGTTTCTGAGCCGATGGTGGTCATGTTATGCCCAAGTAAATATCGAGGTTAAACGTACACATAAACATTAGTGTAAGTGCTACAGGCGTATTTAAAAAGGGATCGGTAAACTTTTTATGTGTAGAATCTAACAAATTAATATGAATTATACCTTCTGGTTCATTGTTAGAGCCGGCTAATGGTGATGTCCTGGATCTTGGGAGGAAGGTATCTTCACTCTAAAGGTGACATGCACTAATTACCATGAATAGACACAACAACATATCAAAGATAGATATCTATTGTCCAATATTCAGGGGGAATGATACTCAAGAAAAAAATAGGATATTATAAATCGTTCGTTTGAAACCTTTATCACTATCTCATTTCATCTCTGATCTCAACGATTCTACCCGTTAAGATCCAGGATAGGACTTGCATGACTAACGGCATCAGATGGTCAGGCTCGCAGACTGTTGCATTACACCCCGTACATGGATGCGTATGATGCCAATCACTGGGTTTTCTGGTTCGAGTCGATTAATGACGGACACCTGTCATGTGGCTGTACTATTTCTTATTGTGGTGTTGAAAAGAAATAGACTTACCAATGGACGAGCAGTCGCTCTGGCGTCTATTCCATCACCTGTCATAACCATACGAAACATGACATAATTAGCGCCAATGTTCTACAAATGGGTTGATTAATGTTCGTTTATTTAATGCAACTACAAATAACGAGAATATGTCAAAGAGTATACTTGCCTGTTTCCATGTACATTTGTGATGATGAATCGGAAAAGTCAGACATTCTTGCTACGTCATGGTCTTTAGATTCTGAACGCTGACCGAAGGTGCTATTCAAATCATCGTGGCACGTGCACTCTAAACATAACTGTCTATTGCTCTTAAGCTGATTGTAGAGACTTGCATTGTATCTTTTAAGGGCTTTCATCAAAACCGAAGGTCTTTGTCTCGTTTCGTGCATCAAATGGTTCCACTTGTCTTCTTGAGACATGTTGGTTGATGTTAAATCTAAATGTGAAGCCGCTGATATTGCACCAATCTGATAAAGACAAGTTGCAAACTTTCGAATTCGTATTTGTTCCCTTATCTTGCAACTGAGACACCGATTGAGCAAGAACTTCGATAAAGTTGGATTTGCAGCAGCCTTTGAAAGTTCTGTCGCCAAACATTCATGCTCCTCCTTAAGTGCAGGAAGAAATACCGCCTTAAATGTGTCTGCGTCGAATGTCTGGCTTACGTATTTTAAGAAAGCTGCATTCTGTTGCTGTATGGTTTTTCGAACCAGAATGCTTTCTCTACCAGCTTCCGACATGGCTTTTTGCTCAATTAATCTGTCCAAGAGGACAGTGTCATTCAATCTTAACTTTTCTTGTAAACTGTCTGAATAAATGCACAATGCATGCAGATGGGCCTCATCAGGTGGAGGTGTGTCTGAAAAAGAATCACGTAAATGCTTTATATTTGAAACAGCCTCATTATTCAATGCTTTCATAGCATAATGAGCGTGCATTCTAAAAATATTTTAGTTACTGCAATTAAATATATTCAAGAATAGTGTGTAACGTGTTATATTTGGGTTTACACTTCCTCAGTAAAGTACAGATTCTAATATTTTTGGTACCGGTTTGTTTGGGATCAAACCAAATCTGAAATATAAGAGAAACATTATTGTCCAATGATAGTATGAACATGTTTGCTAATTTTCTTGATGCTGTGTCTGAAAACATTACTGAAGCTGTTGATTTATTTGCAAATTTAATATGTAAAGCTGCTAATTGTATGAAACAAAGTAATTCTGTAGTCAAGATCAACCGTGGTTTGATAGGGAATGTAGTTATTACCAAGCTGAGAGGGAGATGTTATTAAAGGCATTGAGAAAGAGTAGATTTGATGAGGATTTAAAGAATTTCTGGCGGCTAGAAATATATTTTCTTCTGTCGTGAGAGAAAAGAAACGCTTGTATCAGGATAAGATAGTGAGATTGTTACCAGACAATCTGTGTAATAGTAAAGCATTTCGGAATATATTCAAACGGTTTTCGGGGTCATCTGTAGTTCATCCCAATATAATTATCTTTGCATGAGTGGTTTGATTATTTCTGCAATATGTACATGGACGCTGCTGGTCCGAGATCGTAATACAACTTACAATAGCGAATATCAGACCACGGATAGTAATGTTACAATTCTGGACTCGCCTTTAACAGTAGAGGAGGTTGCGAAAGCAATAAATACCCTCAAGTGCTCTAAATCTGCTGGTGACGATAAGTTAATTGCTGAATTTTTCAAGTATTCTTCTGATATTCTTGTTCCGTATTTAACAGTTTTATTCAACATGATCTTTGTGAATGGTGTGTTTCCAGCTCAGGGGTCGGTTGGTCTTATTGTCCCTATTCAGTTTCAAATTATAGAGGAATTACTATCCTCAGTGTATTTAGTAAACTGTATATTGCAGTTATTAACGATAGACCTAACTTTTGGAGTGAAGCTTATGTTAAATTTTCGGAGGCACAGGCAGGGTTAAGAGCAGGCTACTCAACTGTCGACAACATCTTTATTCTTGATTCTATTACACAGAGCGTTCTATCGAAGAGGGTAAATTGTATTCTTCCTTCGTCGACTTCTCGAAAGCATTTGATTTGATAAATAAGTCGAAATTATGGTTAGTTTTGCAACAGAAAGGATTAACACCCAAGATGTTAGGTTGCATCAAATCCATCTATAGTTGTGTTACATCCAGAATTAACTCAGTTGTTTCTCCTTCTATTTGCTGATGATGTTATTCTATTCTCTGACACCATCTATATGCTTCAAAAACGTATTAATCTCCTTGAACAGCTAGCATTGCAAGGAATATAAGCTATATGTCAACTTAGATAAATCCAAAATTGTTGTGTTTAGAAATGGTACATTACTTGATTGTGTTTCATCATATAGATATTGGGGAATAGTATTTTCATAAACATTGTCATGGCATAAATATTTTGAGAGCTCTACTCTTCAATCCAAAAAGGCTTTGTTTGGTATTTTGAACAAAACATGAACACATGAACTGTGATGTCTTCTTCAGAATTTTGTACACTAAAGTAATGCCTATTTAGCTTTTATGGTGCCAATGTATGGTGTCTAGAGTGTGAGTCTAATTCATCTATTGTATTGAATCTATCCATACCTTAGCCTGCACATATGTACTCTATGTTAAACTATGTACCCCCAACCACGTTGTACGTGGCGAATTCGGGCGATACCCTATGTATATCTTTGCGTACAAACGCTGTATTATTGGTACACACTGTTAAATATGCCTTCTACTCGTTGTCGTAAGAAATGTTATAATTTATAACTGATAGATGCTTCAAATGGTAAAATTAACTGGGTTTTCAAAATTGAAAAACATATTGTACACATTGGATTTTGGATACATATAGGAAAGTCAAGTTATTCCTGATATAAACCTTTTTATTTCTGAATTCATATCTAGAGCGAAAACATATTTACAGGAATGGTATTCCTCGCTGTCTAATGGCTCCAGAACTTATTTATCTTCTCAGTTTAGATTCATTTTTGGTGTTGAACCATGTCTCCATTGCATAACTATCAAGAAATTGCTATATTGCTATAGTGAAGTTCAGATGTAGGTCACACCAATTGAATATAGAAACTGGTAGATATATGAATACACCAAAAAGCTCAAGATTGTGTGAAATGTGTTCCTGTAACTATGTTAAAAATGACTACAACTGCTTATGGATATGTACTGCTTATGACCTTCGTAAACGTTTTATCCCTGTTGATGTTTTCACCCATCCAAATGGGTGAATGTAACGGACTGATATATAATGCTACTCCTCTGTTTTAAAGAAATGCCATGTTCATCTTCTATGCTAACAATCGTCGCCGCTGCAGCTTGAAGGCTGCTAATGTATACCATTGTGTCACGGGCCAATGACCGACATTCACATGAATAAAGAATTTAATTTTTGGAAGTTACGTTACCTGGCCGCGGTGCTGAGTGGCTTAGATGGTTGACTGTGTGTGCCGGCGATTAGGTACCTGACTTTGAGAGTGTGGGCTCGAATCCCGGATGGGACCCAACCAAACGAAAGTAATAGAATTTGGACGTTACTGAGGAAATGTAGCCCGAAATAAAACAGGTGATGCATTTGGCCACTTCCTATATATGGCATTGTGTATTCAAATAATAGTATTGACGATGATTAGGCCAATTTGGTATAAGATGCACATTACACACTGAACACTTTATTCAATGTAACAAGGCGCGTAGGCTAGGAAGCTAAGGAAATGTTTGGGTGGGCTTTTTGGCTAGACGGAGGGTTTTCGATACGCGACTAAAAAAATAAGAAATGTTGAGGGTAATAGATTCATATTTTTTCTGGGTTTTTATTTTGTTGGTTTATTTTTGTCCTACCAAATTCTTAATAAAACAAAAATAGAAGCTTTCATTAGTTAAAAGTAAAAAAGGTTTCATTCGGTGTGTTCATTCATCTTTCAATCACTGTAAATATGCAAATGGTGAAATTATCTTTCGACCAAAACTATAGATAAGGCACTTAGGATATTCAAGTTTTCATCTTGCACTCCTTTGCATACCAAAGGCATTCAGGTTGATACAGTCACAATGATGAAATGTACTTCTTACATAAATATCCAAAGGAAATCATGCAAACAGAATCATTTTCATGTAAAATGAGGTCCATGCAGGTAGCAAAGGTACTGTAAGTCCCCATGGTCCCTAGCATGGTGATCTACCGTCAGTTGTGGGCGATCTATAACCTGTTTTTGTATTGTATCGTCCTCTATAGTTAAAGTATTTTAGACTTAATTACTAGTTTTAAATATATATCTGTGATAGTCTAGTTGGTTTTACTGTCCTTTGTCGACACATATTTAAACTGATTACCTTCTTTTCATCGCTATATGGCTGTAATAATGCCGATGCCATGTAAAGTTTTAACACACTCACTCATGTAAAATGAAATCTTGGAGCAAAAAAAGAAAGCAGTTTCCCTCAATAATTTTAATGACTCTAAGTTCATGTTGTTTAGCAATTGCCGTACATATACGTACATGGTCATCCTTTAACTTACATTGAAATAGTAACGGCTACATCGCACTAGTTTCTATTCATATTCAACGTTTAAGTGCTTACATGACTAATTAAACATCATATGTCAACGTGCCATGAGTCACGTTGGCACTGACGTTTATAATGCTTACTGTGACAATTCGCTCGCAGGTTATATTTACAAAAATACCTTGATGGGATTAAGTACTGTTTGTGTTGGACACGTAACGTCAACAAATGGTTCCTACCTTTTGACTCCAAAAGCTCCAATTGTCTCTGTCGGAAAGCTTGGATCAAAAAATCCTCCATATGAGAATTGTAACGTTTCATTTCTTCTTCTGTTTTGTTTGCTGCAAGTTGATCTTCAAAAAAAGTTCTACACCGCTCAGCTGTCTGTGATAAATTGTCAGAAATCATTTGCTTGATCGTCTCTTTCATGGTACTGTTGACAGGTTGCTTTTGGACTATTATGTTGACTATCCAGTCGGACAGACCGTCCAAGGCAGGAGGTCTATTCAAAGCCATCAGTTGCCAAATAGTGCTAAAACAACAAAGCAGAAACGCACATGCATTTTCAGTAGATCATTCAGAGATATTTTCACAGCAGTCGTCATTAAGGACACTTCCTATTTTTCAATCCCTCTAGTCATGCCGTGGTTGTTGTGTAGTGCGCGCAAATTGCATGCAGAAAAATATTTTCCACGCAATACATGTGCAATGTGTCGGAAACATGAGTGGAGACACCGACTATAAAAGGCCAAATCAAATTCATCATTTCAGTACGAAATTTACGACAAAAATTTAAGTCCCCAATTTGCAGTTGCAAGACACTTCAACGTCCAGCATAGCACCATATCTCGATCATGCCTTCGATATACCCGCTTCAATTCGACCAAAGATCGTCCCAGAAATTGACTGACTGACTGACTGAGTTTGATTTTACGCCGCTTTTAGCAATATTCCAGCAACATCACGGCGTGGGACACCAGAAATGGGCTTCACACATTGTACCCATGTGGGGATTCGAACCCGGGTCTTCGGCGTGACGAGCCAACGCTTTAACCACTATGCTACCCCACCGCCCCCCAGAAGTTGAAGACCAAGAGTGACAACTCCTGCTCAGGACCGATTCATTCGGGTGTTTCACCTAGGTCACCGATTTGCTACAGCAACGGACACTGAAGGAAAGGTGTCTGAGGCGTGTTCAGAACCGCGAGTGCCCGCGAACGCTAGCCAGCGCTCGATCCTGAACGCCTGTGCCCGTTCGAGCGCCCGCGCGCGCACGCGAACCATCCTCGCAGCTGCCTCGCCATGCGAACCAAGATGTCGACCTTGTTTAATGTCTCCTTTGATGGGCATTTTAGAAGTTGAGTTGATGAAGAATAATGACAATTATTATGGATATACAACTTCTTTTATTCTGTGGAGGCGTGGGCGCTCACGGTTCTGAACACGCCTCTGGTCTTCGAAGAAATTCCAGCCAAACAATCAGAAATCGTCCGATAGAAGTGAGAATTCGAGCATATCAACCAAAAGTTGGACCTGTCCTGACACGACTACAACGACAACAACGTGTCCAAAGGTGCAACAGGGCACAGGCATGGAACCTGGGGAACTGGAACGCGCGCGTTTGGTTCAGCGATGAATCGCGTTTCCTCCTTGAACGACGGGATGGGAGACAACCTGTCTATCGACCTCGACACGAACGTTTTGCACCGCACAACCAATGCACAAAGTAGTTTCAATTTCTCAGTCAAACTGTGGACAGATGTCTTGAGTAATGATGTAATACGAGTTTACTTTCATTTGTGTTTATTCATTTTCTAAATCAAACGTCATAGCAATAGTAAAGTGTGACACATTATACGTGTATAAATATTTTCTTTTGTTCTTTAGTATTCTAACTGAAGCGCGTTCGTGCGTGTGTGCCTGTGCGTGTGTATGTATATACGTTTCATACATTTATATTTTGAAAACAATTTCAAAACATCCAGAACTTTTCTCAACCAGTGGTAATCTGTCCAGATAATGCATTTGCTTGCTGGTTTTCGACCGACTCAAGTGTGCTGTAAACACACCTTATACTAGTATATAGGCCATCTAACTGCCCACAAACAACACAGACTGCTAATTGTTTGCATGCGTATTGTGGTTTATTGTTTCTTGTTGACTACGCGTTGATTACAAACTTATATACAAAATGCGGTTCTTTTAACTGTAGCCTTACTTTTATAGGGACTTTCTATTACCGTCAGGTGGCAATTCAAACTACATGCATCTGATTTTACATTGCTGTACAAAGGTTATGGCTGAATGAGTGAGTTTAGTTTTACACCGCCTTTAGCAATATTCCAGCAATATCATGACATGAAACACCAGAAATGGCTTCACGCATTGTACCCATGTGGGAAGTCGAACTCGGGCCTTCGGCGTGACGAGGCTACACCACCGCCCCTCAAAGATTATGAAAATACATACATACATACATACATACATACATACATACATACATACATACATACATACATACATACATACATACATACATACATACATACATACATACATACATACATACATACATACATACATACATACATACATACATACATACATACATCCATACATACATCCATACATACATACATACATACATACATACATACATACATACATTCATTGTAACCATGTGGGCAATCGAACTCGGGCCTTCGGCGTGACGAGGCTACCCCACCGCCCCTCAAAGACTATCTGTGTGTGTGGTGGATGTGTCTGTGTGTGTCTGAAATAATAACGGCTTCGTCACCCTGTATAACGTTAGTTTAGATTATTGTTTTCCAGGCAGAAATGGCCAATCTCAGCAGTGTTATTTTGTTATCAATACACAATATAAATAACTTCGGTTTTTCCAGCCGTAACTATATTTGAAAGGGACTTTCCGAAGATATTATCGTTATTCAAACAGTGTGAGTATAACGCAACTGCTATAATTATAACGGTTTACAGTCGATAATCAACATACATTGCAGTTCCGCTCAATGACTTGCCATCATTCTGCATACCAATTATGTTCGCTTTGATCGTATCACGTGCATATCTAAAATCAATGTATGAACGCCCGATTGGTCAAAATAATGATAATAAATAATAATATTATTGAACAGTTATATTGTGCTAAATCCAACCACTAACAGTCATACAATCATATTTATGATATGAGTCTAATAGGCTAAAAAACGGTTGAAAAACATAACTGTTGTGACACTTTCTCCCATATATATACATGTGTATTTGGTATTTATGTGTATAAACCAATTCATACACGTTATTGTGTTTTGATATGCACATTTCTTATTTGGTTACCCCTTTTGTTATGTCGTTGATAACGCGATCAATAAAATGTATAAATAGAACCGGGTTTCCCGAAATTAGCTATTTTTGAAAGGGACTTTACCTAAATTTCTACTCCAGGTTCAAAGTGCCCTTTTATATGGACTTTCTATTACCGTCAGGTGGCAATTCAAACTACATGCATCTGATTTCACATTGCTGTACAAAGGTTATGGCTGAATGAGTGAGTTTAGTTTTACACCGCCTTTAGCAATATTCCAGCAATATCGTGACATGAAACACCAGAAATGGCTTCACGCATTGTACCCATGTGGGAAGTCGAACTCGGGCCTTCGGCGTGACGAGGCTACCCCACCGCCCCTCAAAGATTACCTCTGTGTGTGGTGAATGTGTCTGTGTGTGTCTGAAATAATAACGGCTTCGTCACCCTGTATAACGTTAGTTTAGATTATTGTTTTCCAGGCAGAAATGGCCAATCTCAGCAGTGTTATTTTGTTATCAATACACAATATAGATTGCTTCGGTTTTTTCCGGCTGTAACTATATTTGAAAGGGATTTTCCGAAAATATTATCGTTATTCAAACAGTGTGAGTATAACGCAACTGCTATAATTATAACGGTTTACAGTCGATAACCAACATACGTTGCAGTTCCGCGCAATGACTTGCCATCATTCTACATTGCAATTATGCTCGCTTTGATCGTATCACGTGCATATATAAAATCAATGTATGAACGCCCGAAGGGTCAAAATAATAATAATAAATGATAATATTATTGAAAATGTATATAGTGATAAATCCAACCACTAACAGTCATACAATCATAATTATGATATGAGTCTAAATGGCTAAAAAAGGGTTAAAAATCATAACTGTTGTGACACTTTCTCCCATATATATATTTGGTATTTATGTTTACAAACCGAAGTTGTTGTGTTTTGATATACACATTTCTTATTTATTTACTCCTTTTGTTATGTCTGTTGATAACGCGATCAATACAAATGTATAAATAGAACCGGGTTTCCCGAAATTAGCTATTTTTGAAAGGGACTTTCCCTAAATTTCTACTCAAGGTTCAAAGTGCCCTTTTGTAAAGTAACTCATTTTACCGTTTGAATTCATTAAAATGGAGACAAGTGCATGTGGATATCATGCACCGATCTACAGCCATGACTATACACATCGATTTTATTGTCGTAATACTAACCTGTGCAAGTCCACATAGCGTACGAACAATAGCAACCTGTGATACACTTTCTGCATATACATGTATCAAATTACCGCGTCCAGTCAATTAACACATAAAACTGGCATAACCTTTCAAATTGTCATGATCACAAATAACCTCTGATAAAAGACAAACCTCACTTGATCCTTTCTGGAATGTAATCTGCGAGAAAAACAAACGCCTGTCTTCTGTAAGGATCACCGCTCTGTAACTGCAGTAACAGCCAATCAAAAGATACTTTACATAATGCATAAAGGGGAACAACTGACCAAGCCTTCTTTGTGCCTGTAGTGTTATCAACTTTATATTGTCCGACTATTCTCCTTGCTTATGAAGAGAAATTCGGCGACGTACGAATGACTGATACAGAAAATGCAAACATGCATACCTTATGTAATAATTATGCGTTATATTTGGGATTACATTCAGTGGTGTACAGAATCTAATGCTTCTCGTGGCTGGGTCCCATCCGAGGTTTTAACTCGATTAAGGCGCCTATTCGCCAGCAAACAAATATACTGTATATATTCTAATATGTGCATATGGTACTTTAGTGTAGTACATTCTACAGCATTTCTATAGTTACACATGATTGTTTCATGTAGCATTCATTTGAGCTTCTTTCATAAATGGTCCCCCCCCCCCCCGCACAATGGAAACAAAGAACTAATAACTAAAACTGGCTACTGTTTCTCCCTTTACGCTTCTTCGTTGAATGAGTGAGTGAGTGAGTTTAGTTTTATGCCGCACTCAGCAATATCCCAGCTATATGGCGGCGGTCTGTAAATAATCGAGTCTGGACCAGACAATCCAGTGATCAACAGCATGAGCATCGATCTGCGCAATTGGGAACCGATGACATGTGTCAACCAAGTCAGCGACCACCCGATCCCGTTAGTCGCCTCTTACGACAAGCATAGTCGCCTTTTATGGCAAGCACATGGGTTGCTGAAGACCTATTCTTCCCCGGATCTTCACGGGTTCTTCTTCGTTGAAACCGAGACCATGTGCGACGTATTTAAAAACATTGAAACAATCACGATGTACTAATATATTTTATGTTTGAGAATCGTTATCTGAAATCCTTTCAAGGAGAGCAAGGTTCTGAAATATGCAATCATCCATTTCCAGTGCAACAACAGTTTGGATCTGCGTTGACATATCTAACACACCAGATCACGCAACTGGACTGATGGTATTTTCTGATTTGCTGACGTGTTTGTAGATGCAGGGTGCCGTTCCACTAACCGATCTTAGCCCTATGCCAATCGTAAACCCCTAAAATCCCAATCTTAGCGTGACGTTACGATCGGCATACCGTTCCACTAACCAATCTTACCCAAGTCAATCGTAAAGTTAAGATTCAAAGTCTAAGTTGCTCATGACCAACTTAGGATAGCTAAAATCAAAGGTAGAGAAACCAAAATGGTGGCTTTCCTATTCTATGTGAAAAATAAGAGCGAGCATTTCACCGTGAGCGTCCCCTAAAATCCCCCATGAAATGAATTTGTATATTTCTGTGATGTAAACAAACATTGCACTGAAGCCTTACAAATGTCAGGCCAGTCTGACCACTGTCGTCATGGGAACACAACCGAGCGAGATGGTGTAACACATTTGTACAACAATATTGCAACGTCATGGTTAAGAATAGGGACGGGTCATGAAGTGAACAATGTTCTTAAACAAAAAGATACAAATATGTTTGATTTCACGTGCGCTTATTTGGTGGGGGATTCTAAAGGCAGGCCGCGTGTTATTCAAGACCACTGACAGATTCTACATACGTTATAGAGGATGCCTCGTCACGCCTTGTTTATTCTGATTGACAAGGTTCAGGCACATAATAAAAGCTCTGACACAATTGACATTTTTAAGTCCAGACTTAAAACCTGTTCTCAGTATATTACTTATAATCTCGGCTGTAAATACTCTCGTGTAAATTATCTGTACATAGCGCTTTGAGCATGCCCCAGGATGTGGAATAGGCGCACTATAAATATGCATATATTATTATTATATTATGCCTGATACCCAGCGTTCACACACACTTGCACCTGAAACCAAGGTGCTCACTACCCTAATATTTTGCTCTAGGTTTTTTCTCCACGTTTACACTTGGTTGGAAAAATACCCATGAAGGGCCGGATTAGAATATTGAACTTCAATAACCCATGCTTGTCGTAAGAGGCCACTAACAGGATTAGGTGGTCAGGCTCGCTGACTTGGTTGACACATGTCATCGGTTCCCAACTGCGCAGATCGATCCTCATGCTGTTGATCACTGGATTGTCTGGTCCAGACTCGATTATTTATAGCTAAGATACATAGCGTTCACTAACATGAACGCTCATGTTAGTGAACGCTATGCATCTTAATTAGCTAGATTATTTACAGACCGTCGCGATATAGCTTGACTATTGCTGAGTGCGGCGTAAATCTAAACTCACTCACTCACTCAGTTGGTTCGTTAACTACTTCCATCATTTACTAGACTATGCAAAGGAAATAACTCGTGCCTTGCATTCCTCTATCTCTCTAACGAAAGAGTCTCCATCCTAGCGTGGATCGGATCGTAAGATCGGGACCGGCTACGATCGGCCTAAGATCGGTTAGTGGAACGCGTGTAACTTTAGCTAAGACGATTGTAAAATTGGCGTAACTTGCTAAGATTGATCTTAGTTAAGATCGGTTAGTGGAACGGCACCCATGTCGGCTTCCTGTGTTTACCATAGTGTTATCTCTTCTGAAAAGATGACTGATTATGTTTCGAACCATTGAATGTAAGTGCAAAGTTCTGGAATGCAAATGAACACATACACACGTGAGCAGATGTGAGTGGCATGTAAATTCATCGAACATCATGTAGACGTGTCTTTGGTCGATGTGTTCAGTCGTGTCGCTTCACCCAGGATTCGATTCCCATGGGGTCTAGAGGTGAGGTGAGGTGAAATTGGGTTTTACGTCGTGCTTGAGAATATTTCGCTCATATGACGACGTGCATGCGTGTATGTGTATATGTGTACCAGCCCAGCAGCTGCTTGTACTAGCCCAGACTAATACCCATTCAGACACATTATACTGACTCCGAGCCGACCAGTCGTTGTACCCATTAATGCCGAGCGCCAGACAGGGACCAACAAGTACCATATTTTAACGTCTTTTGGTATGACGCGGTCGGGGATCGAACCCGCGACCTTCCGCTTTCCGGGCGGACGCTCTAGCCACTACACCACGGAGGCGGTTACCATGGGGTCTAGAATAGAGCAGCGAAAAACAAATGGAATAAGTTGTTCTAAATGACGTAATCAGGCATTTGTGATGTTAAAACATGATTGAAAAGCTCCGTTGAAAGCAGAATATATATTTCCATTATAAAATAGGGCAAACCGGAAGGTACATATTCTTTGAGAGGCATTTTGAAGTTGACATGAAGAAGGGACGTCATTGTTCCCATTGTAAAAACAAGCATAAAGTGACATGGGAACCTGTGAGAGATACAGCACAACGAATTGAATAATAATAAGTTAAGGGATTTACAACAATGATGCATTGTCCGTTGTTATATTTCATGCCTGAGCCATTGTCAAATGTAGGAACAAAAGTAGTACTATTTTATTGAAATCCTATTGTGCTCTTATCTGACTAAAGCTGGAAGCAGCTGTGACTAAATTATAGAAGACGGATTTAATTATCTGATACTCTGACCGGTAGACAGCAGCTGCCTCGAAACACGAGATAAAGATGAAGATGAACAGATGCGTCACTGGTATAGGTATCAATTACTGCCGTGGAAGGGAGGGAGCAGCATGTATAGAGTCTTCATTCTTTGTCTTATTTCATGCATACTATGGATAGCAGTCGAACACATGAAGACAAACACCTATTTCTTGCCCTCCCTTTTCAAGGATGCGTCATCACGGTGCGTATTTTTACTGTATAATGAAGTCAAGGACACGCGAAATATATCAACGGAAAAGTGGATTTTGTGTAAATGAGTATATCTAACTTTTTGCTTGGAATATCCAGTGTACTGCACAGGTTGGTGGGTTTGATTGAAATGGCATCAAACATGTGCTTTACCCATCCTTGTGTTGGCTCCGAACATGTGATCTCTACAGGAGCACTTGGCATCCTGCATGTGCTTCACAGATGGAAGGGGATTGTTTGAACTGGCATCCTATACGTCTTTCACAGATGGAAGGGATTTGTTTGAACTGGCATCCTATACGTCTTTCACAGATAGAAGGGGTTTGTTTGAACTGGCATCCTATACGTCTTTCACAGATGGAAGGGGTTTGTTTGAACTGGCATCCTATACGTCTTTCACAGATGGAAGGGGTTTGTTTGAACTGGCATCCTATACGTCTTTCACAGATGGAAGGGATTTGTTTGAACTGGCATCCTATACGTCTTTCACAGATAGAAGGGGTTTGTTTGAACTGGCATCCTATACGTCTTTCACAGATGGAAGGGGTTTGTTTGAACTGGCATCCTATACGTCTTTCACAGATGGAAGGGGTTTGTTTGAACTGGCATCCTATACGTCTTTCACAGATGGAAGGGGTTTGTTTGAACTGGCATCCTATACGTCTTTCACAGATAGAAGGGGTTTGTTTGAACTGGCATCCTATACATCTTTCACAGATGAAAGGGGTTTGTTTCAATTGGTACCCTGCATGTACTTCATATATAGAAGGGTGTTCCTTGACTTAGCATCCTGCATGTGCTTCACAGATGGAGGGTGTGTGTGTGTGTGCGCGCGCGCGCGCGCGTGCGTGTGATTGTGCGTACGATTGTGCGTGCCTGTGTGTGTAAATGTGTGTGTGAGAGGGAATTGTCATCCTGTATGTGCTTCACATATGGAAGAGGGTTGTTTGGCTTGGCATTCTGTACGTGCTAGAGACACTGGCGATTGTTATTCCATGTTTAACAAATATGTGCTTCATGGGTAGGTTGACTTGTTTGACGTTTCATCTTTCGGAGCCCCGCACCCATGACTGGGACACTGTCTTTAACGTATCTGTGGCTTGATTAGTAAATGCCCAGCTCAGTTACATCAGTAATCGTGTGGTCCCTTATGGGTGAACACACTTGCGGTTTCAACATACCCATGCACCATGCGCATGCATCATGTGAGTTCACCTCAACAATACTTCAACACTTTCTAATGATATGTCCCCTTGTATTTTGTGGGTAGTATATA